AATACGACCTTGCCACTTGCACAACATAGACCCTTGGGTTCTCCTGCAAACGTCAAAGCAGTGCATTGGACACACCGCTTGTCCATGAGACCAAGTTGGAGAACGCGCATATCGGCATATGGGTCGTCGGGTGAATAGACGAATGCGGCGCCAATTAGGTCTCGATAGTTTGTCGAGACCCGGAGAGCTCTGCGCTGCGCATCGTCAGCGCGTCGTGCTGAGAGCTGGCGTTCATCTTCATTTCGCCGTGCCACGGCAGTTCCCTCGTGATCCACTCGGCGTCGCGCTTCACGCTCTTGGGTGCTTTCGTTGGCACGTGCGTCCGACGTAAGTTGGCGGTCGCGGAGGCGTCGCGCCTCGCGTTGTTCGTCGGTTTCGTTAGAACGTGCGGCCGACGTAAGTTCCCGGTCGCTCTGGCGTCGCGCGTCGCGTTCTTGAACGGTTTCGTTTGCACGTGCGGCCGACGTAACTTCCCGGTCGCTCTGGCGTCGCGCGTCGCGTTCTTCAGCGGTTTCGTTAGCACGTGCGTCCGACGTGACCTCGCGGTCGCGGAGGCGTCGCGCCTCGCGTTCATCGTCAGTTTCCTCGGCACGTGCGTCCGACATGAGCTGGCGGTTGCGTTGGCGTCGCGCGTCGCGTTCTTCCTCGGTTTCCGCGGCACGTGCGTCCGACGTAACCTCACGGTCGCGTAGGTGTCGCGCCTCGCGTTCTTGGGGGGTTTCGTTGGCACGTGCGTAAGACATGAGCTCTCGGTTGCGTTGGCGTCTGGCTTAAAGTTGTTTGGCAGTAGCTTGGGTGCGCAAGCGCGCCTTGCCAATTGCTTTATTCTCGCGGCTTTGTTGCAACGCTTCTGCCGTTTGCGCCGCATGCATAAACGCCTCCCGTTCACGTTTCTGTTTCTTTTGGTCTTCGGTCATAACGCGCTTTGGTGCAGGTATGGAGGCTGCTTCGTCGGTCGTTGTACGGGCTTTCTTGTTGCCTTGTTTAGTTGTCGTGGTTTGCGCTTTACGCTTTCCCTTGCTTGATGTAGACATTGATACTTGTTTTCTATGGAATAGAAAGGAACTTAGAATTAACTCCAGCAAGTTCACACGTGCGTGAGAAAACACGACCAATAGCGCGTAACGCCAAAGCGTCAACACTATTAGTCGGTTGACAGTCGTGTTGTAAATGCCTACCAATGGGGAAACACAAGTGTAGTTTAGAGTCGTGTTGTAGTTCCCTACCAATGAGGCAACACGACTGTGGTGCTGTAAAGTCGTGTTGGAGATCCCTTGCAATGGGGCCCTTCCCATGGGGCAAGACGACTATGGCGCTGTGAAAATAGTGTTGCGTGCCCCCGATTTATGGGGTCCGAACGAAACGTTGACCTGACGCCTTTCAGTATGACCAGTCTCTTTCCACTTTGCGGTGTGAACACGTCTCTGCCATTGGCCATACAACTGTAGTTGTAGACGGTTGGCTCGGATCATTAGCTTTAGGTGAAGTGCGGTTTGGTGCACGAAACAATATAGCGACGCAAGACAAAATTCCCGGACACATGCAAAATGAGTGTGTACCGGCTTCGGGATCCTTGAGATATCCGTACGTGCGGAAGGTAAATGTGGGCAAACCCATGGTACAGAAAACGCACGTTTGGCCGCACCCCCCTGGGGAGAAGTTGATGTGCCAGGACATGAGGCAGTGAAGAATTTAGTTGAGCGTTTAGTGTATTTTTAAAGCATTTTTAAGGGTCAAAAAAATGTTCCCCTCACTACCAGCGTGGCACTTGGCATGAGCCGTCTCCCCCACGAAAGGCGCGTGAGTGGGGATGGTCATGCACATGAATAAATAATAAGTATAACCCGTAAAAGTTAAGTTTATAACTCAAAAATCTTTATATGCGTGGCAGCGAACTTAATATAAAAGATTTGATAATATATTCGCCTGTGAAGGACGCGGGGATCGATGCCGCAATTTTTGGCATGGGAAGCGCCGAGCGGCGCGGTGGAATTAATGAATAAATTTGAATATAACAAAATAGGTCATTAAAGCACTTTAAAGGTGAAGGATTAAAAAAGTGACATGCCTATTCCCATCGCGGGGCACGGGACGTGCCTCCCGGCAAATCCCTCGCAAGCGATCGTACACAGATGGACAGACAACTGAACAGTACGACGTTTGGCTGGTAATTGCATCCAGCATCAGCGAAAGGACGTACTCTGAAATGGGAATTGTTGTGGTTTTACGCTTGTACACACCGGTGGGCCAAAGCAGAGACTTATGAGTGTTTTATCAACGGGACACTTTTTGACTGATTGGCCGTGTGGGGTGGTGGAGGGTTACAACACATTAATAATTAAGGCGAGCGAAAGCCAATAAAGTTATTTTTGAAGAATGGTTGCGAAAGCGTACGTGTTACAAAAAGACTCACTTTACTTAAGAAGCAGGCTAATGTGTACATGATAGACTGGCAGTACACCCAGCCAGCTGAATAAGCAGGCTGCAGTCTACATAATAGACGGGCAGTACGCTAAACCAGCTTAATGACTATTTGTACAAAGAACATTTAAAGAATCGATTATAATAACCAGGCTACAGTCTACATTATAGACTGCCAGTACACCCACTCAGCTTCATAAGCAGGCTAGAGTCTACATGATAGAGTGGCAGTACGCTCACAGAGCTTAATAAGCAGGCTACAGTGTACATAATAGACTGTCAGTACACTCACCCAGCTTAATGAGTATTTGTACAGTCACCATTTAAAGAATAGATTATTGGCGCGTAGGGTTTGAAAGTAATATAAATTGCACACATTGTGTTGGGGGGGGAGTGAAGAGTACGTGAAACTTTGATGAATTTACCTCAGAGTGGCGTGGTGGGTGTCGAGGCCTAGTAGCGTGCAGAGCCTGCGGACTCGCCAAAATTGGGCACCCGACAGAGGCAGGGTACGGGTGACGTTCCTTCCCCCCCCCCTCAGCGCTCCAACAATACTGTGTAATGGCTATTATTTAATTAATTACGGAGCCTATGAAAGTGGCGAAGGCGTGGCTAGCCATTGGCAGGGGCAACCGCCGTCCAATGAAAGTGCAGCCCTTGGCGAAGGCGTCGCTAGCCGTTGCCAGGTCCAATGAAAGCGGCGAAGGCGTCGCTAGCCGTTGGCAGGGGCAACCGGCGTCCAATGAAAGTGCGTATGGTCCGGAGACACACAGACACACAGACAGACAGACAGATTCACGATTTTATATATATAGATTTAAAAATGAGCTCAATCTCGCCCAGCCCACCTCGTTTAAAATCTCTGCGCGCGCGCTCTCTGATTGGCCGTTGCTAGGGCACGTCCTCGCGCGGGGGGGGGGGGGGCGTTTGGGCTCGGGGGGGCGGGGGGTCTCTGAGTCTGGGGGCGGGGGGGGGTCTCTGAGTCTGGGGGCGGGGGGGGTCTCTGAGTCTGAGGGCGGGGGGGGGGGGCTTCTGAGTCTGGGGCGGGGGGGGGGGCTTCTGAGTCTGGGGCGGGGGGGGGAGTCTCTGAGTCTGGGGGCGGGGTCTCTGAGTCTGAGGGCGGGGGGGGGGGTCTCTGAGTCTGGGGGCGGGGGGGGTCTCTGAGTCTGGGGGCGGGGGGGGTCTGAGTCTGAGGGCGGGGGGGGTCTCTGAGTCTGGGGGCGGGGGGGGTCTCTGAGTCTGGGGGCGGGGGGGGGTCTCTGAGTCTGGGGGCGGGGGGGGTCTCTGAGTCTGAGGGCGGGGGGGGGGGTCTCTGAGTCTGGGGGCGGGGGGGGGGTCTCTGAGTCTGGGGGCGGGGGGGGGTCTCTGAGTCTGAGGGCGGGGGGGGGGTCTCTGAGTCTGAGGGCGGGGGGGGGGTCTCTGAGTCTGAGGGCGGGGGGGGGTGTCTCTGAGTCTGGGGGCGGGGTCTCTGAGTCTGGAGGCGGGGTCTCTGAGTCTGGGGGCGGGGGGGATCTCTGAGTTTGGAGGCGGGGGGGGGGGTTCTCTGAGTCTGGGGGCGGGGGGGGGGGTCCTCTGAGTTTGGAGGCGGGGGGGGGGTTCTCTGAGTCTGGGGGCGGGGGGGGGGTCTCTGAGTTTGGAGGCGGGGGGGGTTCTCTGAGTCTGGGGGCGGGGGGGGATCTCAGAGTTTGGAGGCGGGGGGGGTTCTCTGAGTCTGGGGGCGGGGGGGGGATCTCTGAGTTTGGAGGCGGGGGGGGTTCTCTGAGTCTGGGGGCGGGGGGGGATCTCAGAGTTTGGAGGCGGGGGGGGTTCTCTGAGTCTGGGGGCGGGGGGGGGATCTCTGAGTTTGGAGGCGGGGGGGGGTTCTCTGAGTCTGGGGGCGGGGGGGATCTCTGAGTTTGGAGGCGGGTTCTCTGAGTCTGGGGGCGAGGGGGGGATCTCTGAGTTTGGAGGCGGGGGGGGTTCTCTGAGTCTGGGGGCGGGGGGGGGGTCTCTGAGTTTGGAGGCGGGGGGGGTTCTCTGAGTCTGGGGGCGGGGGGGGATCTCTGAGTTTGGAGGCGGGGGGGGTCTCTGAGTCTGGGGGCGGGTTTTCTGAGTCTGGGGGCGTTACCTTGGGTAAAGAAGAGGACTGCCCTCGGTATCCCAGAAGCCACGCCCATAGCTTTGTCGGCATCGCTCTGGAGCTGGATGGAGGGGAGGGGGCGTGTCCTTAATGAGGGGCGTGTCCTCGCTGCGGGGTTGGGGGCGTGTCCTTAATGAGGGGCGTGTACTCGCTGCGGGGTTGGGGGCGTGTCCTTAATGAGGGGCGTGTCCTCGCTGCGGGGTTGGGGGCGTGTCCTTAATGAGGGGCGTGTACTCGCTGCGGGGTTGGGGGCGTGTCCTTAATGAGGGGCGTGTCCTCGCTGCGGGGTTGGGGGCGTGTCCTTAATGAGGGGCGTGTACTCGCTGCGGGGTTGGGGGCGTGTCCTTAATGAGGGGCGTGTCCTCGCTGCGGGGTTGGGGGCGTGTCCTTAATGAGGGGCGTGTCCTCGCTGCGGGGTTGGGGGCGTGTCCTTAATGAGGGGCGTGTCCTCGCTGCGGGGTTGGGGGCGTTGACCACTGAGGCTGAGCTGTGCGCGTCCCTGAGGCGAGAGGCGGCTCCGCTTCCCGCCCGCTCAAACCTCGCGCTCCCGCAGCGCCCTCAGCTCCCCCCGCGCCGTCGCCAACGCCATGGACAACTCTTACGAGAACACGATGGGCGTGGAACCCTACATGGCACCCGAGGAGGACTGGGACCGCGAGCTACTGCTCGACCCTGCCTGGGAGAAGCAGCAGCGCAAGGTGGGCGGGCGAGTTGCAGGCGAGGCCGTAGGCTTTGGCCTAACCGCGGTGCGGTGGTGTGGATGAACGTAGCCTCGGCCATATGAACGGCGAGTTTAACGCTCTCGTTTTCTATGCTTTTATCTGAGCCGAGGAAGGCCAGGAGAATGCGTGAGATTATGGGCTTTTGCTTTTTGAACTTGCAATTAACATACTCTTTGTAGCGGGAAAGTATTGGTGGACAGTTGCGTTAAACGCCAAAGTGATGTTACTTTATTTAACTTGCAGACGCTTCGACGTTAAGCGGGCAAATTGCACATTCATTTGGGGAACGGAGAAAGCAACTTCGTGGTGTTTTATGCAACAAGGCAGTGGCCTAAAGATGCGCTCAAACGTTGGAAGGAGAGGCTCTATTCGCCGAATTCTTCGCTGGATGATGATGACTCCCACAGTGTTGCAAGTCGTGGCGTTTGCGTGACCACCGCACTTTACACCACGCTGTTCGGCGCGGCTTGGTAAATACGGGTACCAGCGTAGATGTTGAAGAACGTGGAACTACAGTACAACAGCACATGTGTCTGCACCCGCTCTCCGTGTTGTGCATTTCACGTGCAGGGGAACAACTCTCTTCAGATGTGCAGCTTAAACGCCGGGGGGTTTGGCCAACAGAGGGATTTAGGTGCCGTTATTCACACCCGCATGGGGCGAGAACTTGGGGCTGTGGGGGGGATGGGAGCGAGCAAGGAATCTGGCAGCACATGGGCTGGGGGAGAGCTTTAGGGGGCTGCTACCAGCAGTGCATGCCCCCCCCCCAATCATCGCTGTTGTTGCCAATCTCGAACAGTCATCACTGCTGAGCAAAAGGCCTCATCCCCCATTTTATTCGATGTCTTCTTCTCATGAGTTTGTTTAGAGCTGCTTTATTGGTTCTTTTATTAATTTTAATGTTTTACCTTCGTGACTTTAGCGAAAAAAAGAATATGCTTTATTGGTGTTTAGTTTTTCCTTCAACGCACCTCCGATTAGCACGGTTTGGGATATACGTACGGCGCGAAAGAAGTTCAACACGACGTAGTTGCTCTGGTACAATTAAGAGTCCTCCGAATTGGTTTTATGGTCGATAAGTCTCATCACATGAATTCACTTTTAAGTTTATATTGTACGTACCACTGTTATAGGCCTTTTACAAAAAAAACCACACTAAGATGGTACTGACAAGTGCATTTTAAAGCTATCCATTATGAGAGTGATATACATTTTTACCGAGTAGCCTCTGTGAGGATGTGAAGATCAATGTAGTATGACATCACCCGACGAGCATGAAGTGCTGGTAGTATTGTGGTTTTATCAAGTGTGCCTCACGCACTCGGGATCTGCATTTTTAAAACAAAGCATTCTTTCCGTTTCGCGGTTACCTTACCATGCTCGCTGAATCGGCAACTATGCACTTTATCCACTTTGGCGGATACGCTGTTACTATACTTAGCCGCCTCTGCAGTGTTTCACAAATTGAGAGCCCATTGAAGACTTTGACGACTTGTAAGGGAGACCTGGAATAAATGTGAATAATTAATGGTCACGGGAACCAATGGATGGTTGCCCACTGGGGTGGGGGCTCTGAGAACGCTTGGGCAGCCCCGTGGCCTTGAGGAAGGGGAAGAGAGGAGAGGGGGGGGATCGACGTGGGTCACCGGCTGGGCTCTCGGGACCCCAACTACCCCCTCCAGGTGGGAGGCGGGCAGGAGGAGAAGGGCATGGCCGCAGGGGATCAACATGTCTCGAGGCAAGTGCCACTGCTTGCGAGGTTGGACTCGGAAATCTGCATGGGAGGAGAAAACCCTCTTAAGTTTAGTGACGGGGGGGGGGGGTTCCTCGATTCGAGAGACGTTTAAGCAATGGTTTGTTTTTTATCGCAAAGGGTCGGTGTTATCCACTGAAGCGGCAACAACTATTAAAACATAATTTCCAGTCGTTTCTAATTAAAATATATCTGTTGATTAAACGATGGCCACTGATACATTATATCGAGACTTGCAAAGTTTGGTCTCAGAGCCCCACACGTTATCATCGGCAGGAGCCTTAAGAAGTGAATACACGTGGGTGCTGTCAAATAATTGGGAAGTGGAGCTGTGAATGAGTGGGTGTGTACGTGGTGCTGGCTTGAGTGTCCACGCGGGGGGGGGGGGGACTGTCACATATCTTTGCATTTTGCGCTAACGTGTTGAGTTTCAAACATATAATGAACACGAACATATCTTGCCGACACGGCTTAAAATATGCATGTCAACTTTATGGTTTCCGAGTTAACCGTTAAGTTTACGAGTTGTACAATAATCCAAAATGCAAATATTGTTCGTGACTGCTCACGCACGTTCATTGATTCCAGATGGTATCTTGGAGCATACTTCACATTCTGGTAGCCGCTCTCAAAGCAATGCAACATCTTTTAACCTGATTTTTTCACAAAAAACATCGAGAACTCTTATACTGTGTGCTGCCTTCATAAAGCATAATACAGTAAATCGATACTCACTCACTCTATTCAAATGAGTTGTGAAACTTAGTATTTTTACTTCCCGAGTTACCATGCTTGAAGTTATTTGGCTTTATGGGTGGTGTCTTTTTTACAAAGTGAAAACATCCTCCCCCCCCCATGTCATGTGATCAAGTAACCGTTCGGAAATCTCAGAGCAGGACATCCCCCCATTTAATTTGAAACCTACTTGCCACTGATATCGATATTTTTTAAATTCTCGGAACAGGATTTCAGCCAAAGTAAGTGCATAATCAAATTTAACATTTTGTTTGTGTTGGTGTACTCTATTATTATTGGGCTGAGACCATCAACTGACTAACCATGAGAAAACTGACTTAGTCACTGGTTGCTGCCTGGATTACAACGCAGGATGTTAGTGGTGCAGCCTCAGAGCTCTGACCTGATTCACCCGGCTGGTATATTTTGTCGAGTTAAGCCAGACGAGCAAAGTCTACTGAATAAGTCTCATGGGAACAATGTTGCCAAACGATGACCACTGAATACGCACCTTGTGCTGTAAATATATAAACAGGAGAGCATTCATGGCTTTGGTTCTTTGTATGTGTCAGGCACTGAGTCTGCCTTCAGCTGGTCGAAGAGTCAGCCTTGTGTTTGGCATTTGGATAGAGGTTGGTAAACAGCAGCATCATGCACCTGCGCTGTCAAGAGCACAGCAGGACGCTTTGTTTGCAGAGTTGTGCACACACGGGGAGAACAAACAACTGCGCCTTCTGCAGCAAGAACTTAAATGTGCAGTGTTGATGTTAAACCAGATTCCTGATATAAATACTTGTGTTTCTCCAAATGATGATTGTATCACTGCAAGCAAGCTAGTCAATTGTAGCTGTCATAATATTTAGCATTTGGCAGCAAAGTGTTGTGAGTTGCTTTTGAGAATACCAGTTGGTATTTTTTGGAGTATTACGGCTGTAATGAATGGGTTTTCTGGGTCGTAATGTTATTGCACCATTACTGAAAGAATGAACAGCAAATGTATACATTTGTGAGCCAAGTGTGTGTAACTGTAAGGGGTGTGGAGATTTTCAAGTGATTGAGATGTTATGTAAACAGCTTAAGCTGTCACTTGTGTTAGATGTTGTGGTTCTTTTGATGTGTATATACCTGTCAGATTATGGATTTACACCCTCAACCGAAAGGTGATATAAAATGAAACTTTGTCATTTTAAGAATAACCTGTTGCATTGCATATTAGTCGTACATGGCGTTGGTATGTGTTCTCAGTGCCCAAAGCACGAACTGACATAGACTGCGGTTAGAGTTTGAAGTTAAAGGTTTTTTTTGTGTGGTTGCCTGCAGGCTTGAATGTTAAACAGTGAGTACTGAGGGCTCTGCTCACTTTCGCCGTGTGTTTTTTTGTGCTGAACAGGGGCCGTATGTGTAGTATGCTAACTCTGCAAACAGGATGTGCAGAGCAAAGGGGAGCTTATTTTTGCCAACAATGACCGAGTCACATGATGTTTTATTGCAGCACAAGACTCGAGGGGGCAAACGTGCTGGGTTTGTTTTGCTTGAGAGTGTTCTTACAAATTTAGCAAACGCCGCATTATGATATCTGTGAGGCTAAATGTTGTGATAGTTTACTGTGGTTGTCATAACGTTCCAGGATTCAAATACTTAACCTTGCAAACAATTTGATTTGCACTATATATGGTGTTCCAGAATACATTTATTTGTTTCAAAGTATATGTTAAAACTTTAGTATGGAGCAGTGGTCTGTTTCTATTATTGCATGTGGAAATATGTTCAGGAGCTAAATAAGATGGTAGCCTTCGTACAGCCCGCCTGTTAGGTGTTTTCATGTTACCTTCAACACAACTAATATTCTCATTTAGGTGAATTAGATATGATACATTTTCATCTGACTAACCAGGCATAAGTGTGTGTATGTGTACATGCGCGGTGAGATTAGGTGGCTTCGAAAGGCACCTATTCTGGTACTAGCACCATGGTGACATCACCATAGCGCTGTGTTGTGTATAATTACGTGGTGAGTCAAAATCGTGCGTGTCTGTTGGCGTGTGTCCGTGCATGAGTGTATCTTTGTGCGTGTACGGTTGTTTGTGATTGTTTGTCAAGTGTGTATGTATGCATGTATCAGATGTGTGTGTGGGCATAATATATGCCTGTGTGTTGATGTAGTGGGGAGCGGTAGTGCAGCAGTTAGCTATGAACCCGGCGACCCAAGGTCTTTTGCTGCTCATGGCCAATACCGGTGGGGATTATCTGAACTGATCTTTGGCTTTACCCTAGGTCGACTCTACCTCAAATGAGTACTTAGTATAGTGTGTGGAAACAGCACTGGGAATACAAAGGCGGTTGGGTGTGGTGCTGGCCACCCACCTCTTCATTTTCTGTGCAGGCCTTGAAAGTTGCTTGCGAATGGCACTTGCCCCAACAATCTGTTAAAGGCTATATGGGGTATTTTTGACGTTGTTTGTGTGTGCTGTTGCCTCTCGGCCCCCTAGACGTTCACGGCATGGTGCAACTCACACCTGCGCAAGGCCGGCACAGGCATCGAGAACATCGATGAAGATTTCCGCAACGGCCTGAAACTCATGCTGCTCCTTGAGGTTATCTCAGGTGAGTTCACGCTTGGTTTCAACCGGTGATATTCCACCAAGCACAAGGACGTCGTCACCACGTCAAGATGCATTGTCCATCGAGTGCAGCGAGTGACGACATCTGAACAGCTGGATATTGTGCCGGGTTTTGTACAAGTGTAGGGGGACGGAAAATATTCGATTGTGATAATTTTAGTTTCTTTCGCAATTTACAGAAAGTGTTAAAATTGGTATAAGTGTAGGATGAATCGCTTTGTTTTCTGTGAAATCACTTTTTTAACTGAACACAATAGTAGCTCGTAGATGAAGAGCATTCTGACAATCGTTAGAAGTGCTGTTTTATGTTGGCTTGCCTTTACTTTTGTGTTTGTGTTTTTTAATTGCCCTCTTTGGATTGTTTGTTACCATTTTTGAAATTGCTTCAAATAAATGAAAGGCTTAGTGAGCATAACAGATCGAATTGTTGGAAGGTTCAAATCACAATACATTTAGTAGAAAATCATTTCCTGCTGGTTGACGTATTGGGAGTAATTGGGTCCAATTTGTAAGTGATTGTTTTTTTTTCTCACCATGGAATAATTGGAGCTTGCTTTCCGGCTAAGATCTGGCGGCTGCTAACGAGATGTGACTAGCTGTCAACTTCACACGAGGTGTAGTCGTTGGATTATTTTCAGCAGGCTGAGTGTATTTACTAATAAGAAAACGCAATTTCAGGCTGCAAGCCGCTGCTATGGTAGGAGGTAGACGTTTAACAATGTACTTCCCCCCCCACCCCGACCCTCATCAAGCTCGTCAATGAATTGTCACGATTGAGGGTTACGATTATATTTAATAATATTTTCAAAGAAAACAATGTTCTGAATGTAGCAGCCACTGGTGGCTACATCGATGATGCAAACCTATTACATACAACATCTGCATACATGCGATTATTTGCATGCATCGATAATAATTTATATATTCATGCAATCTTACAATTCTAGTGAAACATAGACATTACCAGCACAATCTTGTACCTTTATTTTCCTCAAAGTTGAACATGTATTCTGTAGAGTGGTATAACTTGAATGGTATTTTGAACTTGTGATCTGTGCATATCATGCGTTATTGCTCACACGTTGGATACATCTACGGCTATGAATGTAGAGCTCGGTGTCGTGAGCTTTACGCAACGGCGTAATGTTTACTTTACAGGTGAGCGTTTGGCCAAGCCGGAGAGGGGAAAGATGAGAGTGCACAAGATCTCCAATGTCAACAAGGCTCTGGATTTCATTGCCAGCAAGGGTGTGAAGCTCGTGTCCATTGGTGCAGAAGGTGGGATTGTCATAAGCTGATTTCCTCTTGTGTCACTGCCCCCGGTGCCCTCTACACCGTGGGATTCAGACATGACGGGCACTCCGTAATTCAGACGCCCGGCTCGATGCCGCTTGAACCGGTGCACATGGGAGATGGAGGGCAGGGTACATCATGAGAAGGGATGATGGTCAGTGGTCGAGACGAGCTATGTAGTGGCAGCCAAAGGAGAGGGCAAACACTGGCACATGTCTGCCAAGAAGATAATGATGAGAAGAGCTTGTGTGCAGGAGCGAGGTGCTTTATTGTATCGCGCGACCATGAATGATGGTGATGGATTGGGAAGGTCTTGAGCCAACGCAAGCAAGATCGTGGCGGATGATGAAGGCAGTTTTTAATAATGGTGGTGGTAAAGTTGTTTTCAGCCCTCGTTTAGTGGGGTCTTTTGAAAATGTAATCCTCCTGCCAGCTGTTTTACTAGCTGTATTTGTGTAACTGGTGGAGTGCATGGGTTTCATATTGGTGAATGTCTGCTCCTGTTGTAATCGTGGTGAACGGCTTTGTATTTGCCTTTAACCTTGTTTCTAATTATGCCCTCCACTTCTTCAGCCACTTGGTTTTTATCGGCTGAATGTATTGAATGTAATAATAACCGCAACTTGTTTAGGTCATGTTTCATCCTACTTTCATCTCAGTTTTACAGAACAGCAAACACACGACATTTAAAGTTGCACTAAATGTGCTTCTCTTGGTTGATGTAAAATACTTCTTATCCAGACAGCTTCCATGAGCAGAGTTCCCAACTGTGTTGGCAGCCTGGCAAACTGACAAACTGGGAAGGGATGTGGCCAAGTGGTGCATAGCCCTGTGCACAATGTGGAGTCCCAGGCACATGCCGGACGTGCCGACATTCCACCGTTAATCTGCAGATCCCAAACTGAGCGTAAATCATTGATTTAACTGCCATGTTACATCAGGCATTCACATTGTTACCACGATTTTGCTTTATTCATATGTTATCCCCCACCCCCCACCACTTCTATGATTAAATGCAGATCACATTTTAATTAAGCCTCTCTGACAGCTTGTAATGTTGCGGTTACATGTATTGATTTTTATTCCTCCATAAATATGCCACTTTATAATGTATTCAAGAAACGTAAATACTTGGGCCTCCAGTGTGTAAAGCGGTATTTGTATATATTTTTTATTGTGCCAAGCGGTAGTGGTGCATGCCTGCAATCCATCACTGAAGGCGGTGGTTGGTGGATCGCACAAATGTTGTGAATCTCTCTTAGAGCGAGTGTCGAGGAGTTTCCAAACCCTGGCTTGTCAGGATAATAGCAGAATGTGGTACTGGAAAATGTGGACTCCACCTTTTCCACCTGTATAACGTAGAGTTTTGCCCCCTCTCGCGTGGGATTTTCTCCAGGTGCTCCGATTTCCTCCCACATATAAACAATTGTTAATTGTTCTTCTTCTTGGTTCTTTTCGGTAAAGGCACGTAGAAGGGAAGTAATAAAATAATAAAAATAAAACATAATAAAATAAAATAATTCTCACGACGTTTCGGCTACAACGCAAGCAGCCGTCTTCAGGTGAAGAATGAGACAATGCCAAGCTAGGAGCTTATATATAAGCTGCGTTGGAGGTGGAAGAAAGAGCGCCTTAACAAAATAATGTGCATATGAAGAGGAATTTAGCATATTCATGGCAAATGCTAAATTCCTCTTCATATGCACATTATTTTGTTAAGGCGCTTCTTTCTTCCACCTCCAACGCAGCTTATATATAAGCTCCTAGCTTGGCATTGTCTCATTCTTCACCTGAAGACGGCTGCTTGCGTTGTAGCCGAAACGTCGTGAGAATTATTTTATTTTATTATGTTTTATTTTTATTATTTTATTACTTCCCTTCTACGTGACTTTACCGAAAGAACCAAGAAGATGAATCCCTGCAGTCACGAAAGCTTTAAATCGAAATTTAAATTGTTAATTGACCGATAATGCCTAAATATATAGAGGACCATAAAAGTTGTGGGGAGTTAGGTATCAGCGAACTGCCAGGGCTCCCTTACCTGATCGTTTGTGGTTCCTCGTGCAAGTTCAAATGATTCTTATAAAGTTTGTTAAAATGTAGAGACCATCACTCACTTTTCTTTTTATATGTTTATGTTTCTTTTTATATGTTTATGTTTTTGCAGAAATTGTGGATGGAAATGCAAAGATGACCCTGGGTATGATCTGGACAATTATTCTGCGTTTCGCCATTCAGGACATCTCTGTTGAAGGTAAGTGAGCCTCTGTTGGAAAAACGTGCATCTAGGATCAAATGTGTTGTTCATAGGCTAAAGTTACATTTATTACTGCGCACACTCGCAGACAGAAAAACGGCTGCATTTTTGTACAGAAACCTCTGCCAAGGAGGGCCTCCTGCTCTGGTGCCAGCGGAAGACGGCTCCGTATAAAAACGTCAACGTGCAGAACTTTCACATCAGGTTAGTCCGTCTTGTCCTCAGCTTTAAGACACCTGCTGTAAGTTAGAAAGATGCAACTGACTGAATTTATTTCCGTTTGCTCATTGCTGGCAACCAAATATGCACCGGTTAAGTATCATTCCAGGCAGCTGGGTTATTGTTTTTCAGAAATCTAGAAAATATTCAAGAGAATGTAAATAACAGTGGTGGGGATTGAAATTGCAAGCCAGAGCTTGTTGTTTGTTCCAGATCTGTAACTCATGAGTCTCCACTGAGCCCTTGCATCTGAAACAGCCACTGTATTAAATCTTAATTTTCCAGATTTAAACCTCCCTCCTTATATGTACTAAGTCGGCATGGATTAAGATTATAATGCTTGTGAGAAAATTAAGAAGGTTTTGTGTGCATGCATGTGTCCAACTCGCACATTTTATTGTAGCCTTGGGTTGTGCGACTCCCACTCGTCACTTTTTTTGTATGTTTCACCATCCGCTCGTTTGATGATAGAAGCGTAGAAGGTATGCAAGTCCATGCCCCAGCGAGCATGCCGCTGATAGATGGCCCCTCAAACGTGACCTCCGTGGAACACATTTCTGCTGTGCAGCCGTGCTGAAAAAAGGACTTGAGACGATCGGCTTGGGTCCCCGATGGATGTAATCTCGTTGTTTGTGCCCTCATTGCAGCTGGAAGGATGGCTTGGCATTCAATGCCCTCATACACAGGCACCGGCCGGACCTGATCGACTACGAGAAACTGCGAAAGGTACGTGTACTGTCTTCTCTTTTGCAATCTCTGTTGGTACAGGCGAGGAGTACATTCTTAATAATTGTTGATGTAAATATGCAGTGTTTTTAAGAATTTAAATCCTTATATTTTACATACATTCAAATGAGGATGCATTTATTTTTTATTCAGAACTCTAGTTTTATACTCACAGCTTGTTGTGTTGATTGTCCTGGGCATTCTTATTGGCAGGATGATCCCATCACAAACCTCAACAATGCCTTCGAAGTGGCAGAAAAGTACTTGGACATTCCAAAGATGCTGGATGCAGAAGGTAAAAATTGTTTCAGATTATTATTTTCATTATCATTACTATGCTGAATGGAGTTGGTGAAGTTGGAAACAGTTGAAAGTCTCATGGATACTGGCTGTGAGCAAGCGTATTGAATTATAGATGTATAATAAATACCCTAGGCGCAGCTGTGAAGACTGCATTCTCTTTGATCAGCTTTCAGGCCAGCAGGTCATCGGTAGCTTTTTAACAAGCTACTTTTTACGAGGCAAGAAGTGAGAGTACATTATGTTAAAATCGTACATTTGTCTAAGGGCAAAAGGGGAACATGGTGACTGCTAATGCATTGTTAACAGCATTTGTTATTTAATTGCTATTTAATCTGCATGCATGATAGTGTTTACCTAATCATGGCTGTTTTTACGGCACGCGTGTCCGTGCAGACATCGTGGGCACAGCACGTCCAGATGAGAAGGCCATCATGACCTACGTGTCGTGTTACTACCATGCATTCTCGGGCGCGCAGAAGGTGAGCCCACCCCGCCCCCAGGGACATCTGGAGTTGATGCAGGCATGGATAGTCGCTTCCTCCCTCGTTATGAACTCGCACTTTGATAGTGGATCCGAGAAGGTCGCTGGCGCGTGCGTTCGGTTATGCACTACCAACAACGCGAGCACTGTGCGGTTGGTGGCATTCGTGCCGCTATTGGTGAAGCCTGAGCAGCGTAACTGATGTTTATTAAGGGATGCGCGGAGGGTGAGATTGCAGAGACGGGTAAAGGTACAGGCATAAGTTTGCTTGCCAACTTCATTGCTGGTGGAAGGGCCTTCATTGGAGGAAACTCATGAGAGAGCCCCTCGAGATTTGATTTTGGACTACTCTTCCATGCTAGACATTTGTTTTTTTAAATGTTTGGTGTACCCACATTTTACTCCACCCATATGCGACCTGCTAATCGACTAACTCTGGTGTAGCCATTTATACTGCTTAGTGGACAGAAGCGGAGGGGGGGGGTGATTTAAGAAACTTGCGCCATTCTTTCAGCTGCTGTGCCGAGAGATGGATTCGAACCAGTGACCTCCGGTTCGCAAAAATCTAGAGCATTGACCGTTGCACTGCAGTAGCATCCCGAAATTGCAGTGGCGATAAGCAAACGTAGGAGAACTGAGCTCGGCGAGCGGTATTCTGCCGTTGAAGCAAAGTTTCCACAACTTGGTTGCTATTGGTGCAGGCGGGTGTTTGTGGGTTTTGCGCATGAGCACTCGGGAGGATTTTCATGCACGCGGCATAGCCGTGGAGGGTGTTTTATCCCAGCAGCAGGCTCTGACTTGCCCTCTGCATGTCACGCGACTCTAAGCCTGGCTCGAAGGACACTTGGCAGCTGTTTTTGTGTTCAAGCGCATGCAAGTGTTGTTTTGAGGTAGCGGTGTGCGTCCTATTGAAATTATAGTGTGCCATTCAGCCCACGTGCTAATGCAATGAAAGTATTTCACTTTCGACGGTCGTTATCTTTGGCTTGTCCCTTTGATACGAGAGGTGGCGCATGTTCAACGTGCACGTGTTTCACACGTTAAGTTACGCGGTGCGGCTGTAGTGAAATTTTAAGTACGACGTGTTGTCCGAAACGTGTCTTGAAAAGATTGTTTACATGAGGCTTTGCAGAAGTATATCACGGTTAAAGATTCTCTCCTTCCCTCTTCCCCGACTGCCCTCCCTCTTTCCTGTGTAGTTCCCAGGACAGACGTGTTAGGCTTTCCCTTTCCTGCTTTTCCCCCTTCTTGATGGTGCTCTGCACAGGTATTTGCCTTCCTGCTATGCTCATTATGCCCCTCTCCTCCTTTGTGTATACACGCTTGGATTTTTTTGATCTTTGAAGGCAAATGGAGGCCTGCGTTCTGCTTGACTGCACGTCGCTACTCATGGCCACTGAACACGTTGGACTGTTAAAGCACAGGCGCTTACCATTGTTCAGACATCTGCTGACATGTTAACGACGATTTTTATAGCAGTTGGAGGCAGCCAACCTTTACAAGATGATTGCTGAAGAATGGGATGCTTAATTATTACTGATTGACAATAATGAGCGGTCTCAAGGGTAACTAACAATATTAGATACGTTTTGCCTTGTGCGGTGATGATCATTTTCTGTAGAGCGAGAAGTGAAATCTTTAATTATACAATTTTCTACTGAAATAATTTGCTGTGACAAAGTACAACTTAATAAAATGTAAAAGTCCATAGATTAAATTTTTTTGTTCACTTGATTAATACTTATTGTAATCGCTGTGTCACATCAAGGGTCACATGAGTGTCTTTATTCGTGTAGCGGCGTATCTAGATTTAATAGGTCAGTAGAGAAGCAGCTGGAAACCACTTGAATGCTTAGCTGTGTAATTCGAAACAGCGATGAAGTCTGGTCTGACTTTGGAATGAGAAACAAGGAGGGCTCAATTCAAGATGCACGCACTGCTCCACAAAGTCCCAATAGTATTATACGAACCCATTGATACGACTTCATTGGTTAATGTTAAACTTGATGTTTGTGACATTTTTCACCTCCTTATACCAACCGTGTCGCTCAAGATGTGCGAGTGAACTTGGCGCACGATTCATCTCTGCTGCGAAAAAGTCGGAATACACGCATGCACCCTTGAGATGTAGCGTGTTGGGTAGGTACTATAAAGTGTCTTGGGGCGTTGTGGGCAGTCATTAGACGTAGTTGTGCGTTGGGGATTTATTTGTTTTTTTTGCGCAACGATCTTTGCATGCTTCATAAACGTTGTGTTTCTTTGCGCAGGCCGAGACGGCGGCTAACAGAATCTGCAAGGTCCTGGCTGTCAACCAGGAGAATGAGAAACTCATGGAGGACTACGAGCACATGGCCAGCGATGTGAGGAGCGCCGCCACTGCCACCAGCCAGCACACGCACACACGCTTTTACATCACTGTAGGGGGTACGCATAGTTGTTATTAAAATGGTAACATGTCACATCATCAATCTCAGCACTTTAGAAAGGATTTTAAAAGCAGTTTTTTACGATGTACATTTTAAAAAATATTTCTGACACTTTAAAGATGTAGGTCATTATTAGTGTAATCATGGAGTGGCTCTTTTACTTGGGCATAGTATTTCAACAGATTAGGAGTTTGTCAACTTTTCCTGATAATGGAGAAATGCTCATAAAATACGACGGTGTCAGACGTACTCGGACAGACTTGACATTTTCGTCCACGCTGTGATGGTGGATTCAGTTTCATATATTGTGCCAAACCGTTGACTTTTTGCATTAATTTACGAATTAACAATTAAGATAATTATGTTCAAAATCACACCTTGAATTTATTGTTGGGATGATTTTGAAATGTTCATCATTAGCTTACTTACTTTGTGGAACATCCCACAAGCGGGTAACTCTCACAGTATTATTGCAAATATCGAGTGCTACTGCCAGCTGTGTAGACTCCTGACAAGCGCCGTTGCTTTGTGATTCCATGTTCAGCTGCTGGATTGGATCCGGCGCACCATCCCGTGGCTGGAGAACCGTGTGCCGGAGAACACCATGCAGGCCATGCAAGGCAAACTGGAGGGCTTCCGCGACTACCGCCGCGTGCACAAGCCGCCCAAGGCCCAGGAGAAGTGCCAGCTGGAGATCAGCTTCAACACGCTGCAGACCAAGCTGCGGCTCATGAACCGCCCCGCCTTCATGCCCTCTGAGGGCAAGATGGTCTCGGTGAGTTTCGGTCTCTCTGGCACAGTAGTCTTTCTCTTGGCCTGCAGTTTACATTTATTTTACTTGGTGCAGCCTGTGACGACATCTCCTGGAATGCAGTGCCCAATCCGGTCCGATCTCAGAAGATAAGCGGGATTAGAGCCTGCATCGTCCTTGGATGGGTGACCGCCATGCATGAAACAGATGTCGTAGGTCGCGGGGCTATGTTGTGGGCAGCAGACCGGAGTACAGAACTTTGGCCAAATCACCCCCCTTCCCCCCGCCACTCGCATGGTGTGGGAAGGCTCTCATCCAGCGGTGGATTGACAGTAATGCTGCACGTGTACACATGGACATTTATTCGTGTGCCTCATTTGTTTTGTGCGTCATGGAAAGAGAGGTGTCACCAAACCGCGTTTCACACCTGCACGTGTACTTCTCATCACAGGACATCGCGAATGGCTGGTCCATGCTGGAGCAGGCGGAGAAGGGCTACGAAGAGTGGCTCCTCAATGAGATCCGACGCCTGGAGCGGCTCGACCATCTGGCCGAAAAGTTCAGGCAGAAGGCCAAGATCCACGAGGCGTGGACCGCAGGTACCACTTCCAAAACCATCGCTTCAGCACGTGGTTATGTCCATAGGTGTGGGCTCCGTGGTACAATTAGCAGTTCAAACTGGGGCATCGGCATCTGCCGCCCCGGAGGAGTGGTGAATGCGATCGTTCTGTTGTTCAGCGTTGTGCTTGATGCTGCTGCTGCTCTGCCACCTGCTAAGCCCGCGGTTTCGCGTGTGCCAGGCAAGGAGGCAATGCTGGAGAAGCGCGACTATGACTCGGTGTCTCTGACGGAGCTCAAGGCGCTGCTGCGCAAGCACGAAGCCTTTGAGAGCGACTTAGCTGCTCACCAGGACCGAGTGGAGCAGATCGCCGCCATTGCCCAGGAGCTCAAGTATGTGTGGCACGCATAGAGAGGGAGAGATGGAACGTGGCACTTGGTCCGCGGGTGCTCTAGCACACGTGCTGTGCGTTTCATCTGGCGTGCAAATATGACTCAACTTGTTAATCGTCATTAGCCCGAGCATTGTAAAATTATTGCATGGAATAATGCTATTGCACTGAGAGAATAGTCATTTACCACTTGCCATTTTAGGGCTATGGCACATATGAGGTCTTTAGAGAAAAGCGAATCCAGCGTGTGTTGCTGACACCTTGTGGCCAGTCATTAAAACTTCCAGTCGCTGATCGCCCATGTGTCTGCGTAAACCTATCAATTGCTTGTTTTGCACTCTGGGGATTATTATCCACTGCATCTGCTGTCTACAGAATGAACTAAATGTTTATCTCCTCCCCCACATTGCTCTCCTCGGTGGCCTCGCGTAGTGAGCTGGACTACCACGACGTGTCGAGCGTGAACGCACGCTGCCAGGACATCTGTGCCGAGTGGGACAAGCTCGGCGACCTCACCCAAAGGCGCAAGGATACCCTAGAGGTGAGCTGCTGTAGCACGTGTCCGCCTGTTTTCACTGTTACATTTTTGGTTGTTGTTAACTAATTCCCTATTCTCTGGATATAATAATAAATACGGTTTCCCCTGTATTTCAAAGCAAAAGTAGCGGTTGGTGGGGGTTCCTCTCGTATCAAAAGCCACCGGTTGAATTGCTGTCGATCGTGCTTGTGAACACAGAGGACAGAGAAGGTCCTGGAGACCATCGACCAGCTGTACTTGGAGTTCGCCAAAAGGGCGGCGCCCTTCAACACGTGGATGGACGGAGCTGTGGAGGACCTGCAGGACATGTTCATCGTTCACACCATCGATGAGATACAGGTTGGCAGTGTTGGCACCCTTTATATTTTTTACTGATGATGCAATCATAATTTTACAAGAGTGTGCGTTCATAGTTTTGGGAGCCAACAAAATTTTCTGAGATGAAAGTGCATTTTATTATGAAAGTATATTTACGTTTTAATTTCACCTTCATTAAACTGATCAAATGTTTACATTTCTGTGCAGGGTCTGATATCGGCTCACGAGCAGTTCAAGGATACCCTGCCTGAAGCAGAGAAGGAAAAGAGCGCCATTCTGGGCGTGCACAACGAGATTCAGAAGGTGGCGCAGACGTACAACGTCAAGCTGGCCGGGCCCAATCCGTACAGCGCCATCACGCCACACGACATCTCCAGCAAGTGGGAGAGGGTGAGCCATCCCTCACAGCTCACAGCAATGCACGCAGCCTCCTTTGGGATAGAGCGCAAGCTTTCAAAGCACCCTAATCAATCCTGAAACACAGTGCAGAGCAGCCAGTGACAATGCCGATGTTCTGAACAAGCAGTTAATCGCCAATCCCTAAGGGAGAACCTTCCGGTTTCAATTTACCCTGTAAACAATGGTCTGCATTAAACTCTATAAGATCATCGTCATTTGGTGAATTGCCATGATTTGAGGTTGACTGAAGAATAATTTTTTGTAATATTGTGAATGTAACACCTCGTGTGTTCAGGGGTCACAAGACAGGTGACTCGGGGAAGGGAATTTCAGACTATTGCGGGCAGCAGAGTAAAATGATTGACATTCCACTGACAGGGCTTTGATTGACATTGTTCATTGCTGGTGTGGGGAGTGCATGGCGGGGCTTAGAGCAAGGTAAGAGGGTAGATGTAGGAGAGTGCACAGAGGGGAATAAGTGGGAGATGAAAGGGGAGAAGTAGGAGCATGCATTGAGGGGGGGGGGGGAGCGAGTTTAGTGAGATGAAATGGGAGAGGTAGGTAGGGGCAAGTCCATGAAGGATCTTGAAGATAGTGAATGCAACATTTTATATTGATCCATAACTGGTCTGGGAGCCACACTTTGATGCATATGTGGTGAGCATGAGTGTTGATAGTAGTGGATGGATTTATGTATCTCCTTCTATTCTGCCGGCAGATGACACAGCAGGTCCCACTGCGGGACGACTCTCTGCAGGATGAGCTGGCACGGCAGCAGGCCAACGAGACGCTTCGTCGGCAGTTCGCAGCCTCGGCCAACATCGTGGGGCCCTGGATACAAACCAAGATGGAGGTGAGCCGTGTGCTTGGGGCAGCACACAGTCTCGCCGTGGGAGTTGCGTTGGAAATTTTTTCAAAATGTCAACCGTGTGTGGAAACCTTTTCTGCGGGTCCCTTTTTAGTGTATTGGTTTAACTAGGTGAGAACTCGAGACACCAGGATAGTCTCATTTGCAAGAATGTCCCGGGTCACCAAAATGTCAAGCAAAACAAATATACAAAGTACACCAATGAAGCGAATCGAAATCGGAGCAAAAATAAACTGTCACATGGGAAATCGAAAATGTTGCACAAATAATCTATTTTAAATCGTAATTTCCCTGTAACGTAGATCTGCTTTGGTGGATGCTTTTAGACTGATCGTAGTGAATTAAAAATAAGGTACAGAATAATTCAATAGGTAAGAGTGACTGCATGAAAACAGACACGGTTTTACGTCAAATGCAATTGGAAGTAAAGTTATCACAGAGAATTGACAGTTTGGCAGCAATTTATGTTTTGGATAGGAGTTACTTATTGGTGACCAGTTGGTTATGCAAGTGTGCACATCGAGAATTATTCGGATAATAAACTTGAGTTTATATTCTTTGGTTCTTTCGGTAAAGTCACGTACATAGAAAAATAATAAATAAACACTAATGTAGACTGTAGCCTGGTTCTTAACCTCGGTGAGGGTACTGGTAGTCTATAATGTAGACTTGCCTGGTTATTAACCTGAGGGAGTGCACTGGCTCTGGTGAGACACTGCCTCACCTATACATACTTCACCTGGAATGGAACATTCTACAAACAAACTTAAGGCACCCCAATGGGTTCTCCCTTATCTCCAGTTGTAGCCAATATTTTCATGGAAACATTTGAGACGGACGCCATCCAGGCATCCACTCTATGCCCGTCCTTGTGGAAGAGGCACGTGGATGACACGTTTGTCATCTGGCCACATGGCCGACTGGCTCTGAACCAATTCCTCAAGCACATCAAGTCCATATACCCAGCCATCAAATTCACCATGGAGGTAAAAAAGGATGGCATGCTACCATTCTTGGATGTCCTAATCATAAAGAGACCAGCTGGCTTCACAGCAAAGTAACCCATACTGACGCCTACCTAAAACTTGATTCCCACCACCATCCATCCCAGAAGAATTCCCTCATCAAAACGCTACACCATAGAGCTCAATGTATCTCTGACCATGAACACCTAACCAGTTAACTCAAACACGTACACCAGGCTCTCAAGGCGAATGGATATTCTGACTACACAATCCGCAAAGCCATCACCCCAACTGTGAGGAAGGAGCCATCTGAGGATCCAATCAAAGCCATCACCTTGCCATACATAGCAGGGGTAACCAAAAATATTTCCAAAATCATGAACAAACACAAGATCCAGGTCCGATTTAACACAGTACATAAAATTTGTGATCTGATCCCATTTGTGAAGGACAAGATTCCTGACATGCAATATCCCGGCGTCTACAAACTAAGCTGTATCTGGCAGCAGTAACATTGGGGAAACTAAGCGACATGTATCGGACCGTGTTCCTGGGCACAAGGCAGATTTGAAACACGGTAGGACCAATACTTCTGCCGTAGCTGATTATTATTTTAATGCAGGCTGGCTCACACGAAATTGATTTCACTAAGGCGATGGTACTTTGCAAGCCGACTGGCTATCAACAAAGATTTGTTCATGAAGCCATCCATATATACAGACACAGACACAATTCAACAGAGAGGATGGTTATAAATTCAGCAATCATTGGAAAGATGTCATCAACCAATTTGGGTCATGACTTGATTTGTGTTTTCTTTCAACCTCAACCGTCAGCAGTGTGGGTATGTGGAGCGAGGTGCAATGATTGCCTGGCAGCCCTTTTATTGGTGTAGACCTGCTGCGTTGACGTTGTTTTCTCCAACATTAACATCAGCTGCCCCGCCCATGCTTCTGACACACTTGGGCTATGCCCATCTCTAAAACTTTATTAACAGTTTGCCTTTAGAGGCTAAACCCCCCTTTTCCTGATGACGACCGCTTGTGTTGCGATCGAAACGTCGTGGTTTTTGTTTTAATTTTTTAAAATAGATTTTTATGACTGAAAGAACCAGAATAAGTCTACATTATAGACTGCCAGTACGCTCACTCAGTTTAATAACCATTGCTACAGTCTACATCATAGACTGCCAGTACACTCACCGAGGTTAAGAACCAGGCTACAGTCTATATTCTCGACTGCCAGTACACTTACCCAGCTTAATAACCATTGCTACAGTCTACATTATAGACTGCCAGTACACTCGCCAAACTTAATAACTAGGCAACAGTCTACATTATAGACTGCCAGTACACTCACTCCTATTAAGAACCAGGCTACAGTCGACATAAGTGTTTTTTTATAATTTATTATTTTATTATTTGTATTCACTTTATTTTTATTATAATTTTTATATCTACGTGGCTTTACCGAAAGAACCAAAGAATATTAATTCCTGCAGTCACGAAAGTTTTAAGTCAAAATTTTAACTTGAGTTTGTCATACAAACATCGCCATGGTATTATCATTGCTTCATATGCACTGATGAATAATTGCAAAATGTAAAGGTTAATGTTACTCTTAATTGTGGAGCGTTTTTTCACACTGAGATTTATTTTCTGTCCTGCTGATGTATCTGCTAAACCCAGATCTCCCATAATAGATTCGTGGTAGCAGGAGGCGCTCTTACCTCTTCATAAATAGAAGCCGTCTATCTCTCGGAATCATCTTTCACCAGAAAATAATTAGTTTTGTATACATTGGCACGTGTGTGTGCATTTCACATGCTGTGCAATGCCTGTTTAGCAAGCTGTGCATGTTCATATGAAGACATAAATTATACAATTTATGGTTGCCTATAATTTTGTGGTAAACATTCCCACCCATGCTGAATAGTGACTTGCAGCACATTGAAACTTGATTGAGGTGGAATTGATGCCAATTTTTACATGAAGTTATGATTAAAAAATGAATATTTAATAAGGGCCAATATTAACTTATATTTCTCATTAAAGCTAAATGTAGGTGTACTCCTAGGTCATTAAATAAAGGTCAAAATAATTTCCTGCTTAAATGAGCATTGAGGTGGTTCTCCTCTCCTTTTTACAGCCAGTGGTGGAAATTCCTCATTCCTACATCGGGGCCGAGTCCCTAATATAACCACGGATAACTTCCCCACAAAGTGGTGTGTATTTTTTCGACCCCAGAGAGATGATGGCCCTGAGTCAAACGCGAACCAGGAGTTGAACTTGCAACCTTTCCGATGGTTAGCTGCTCGCTCTACTGCCCAGCCACATGGCTGGTTCTAAAATAGTTATTAATAATACTGTGATGTTAAACATTCTTAGACATTTTCACCAGTTATGGAAGCTGTTTTAAATACGTACCATTTACTATTTTCGGGAGTCACAGTGACATTGAGCCACCCGGCTGTCTTTCTCATTCAGCCTTCAAATATGCCATGTGCTGCGTGTTGGGCGTTTGTTGTTGCAGGAGATTGGACACATCTCCATCGAGATGCACGGCACGCTGGAGGATCAGCTGAACCAGCTGAGACGTTACGAACAGAACATCATCAACTACAAACCCAACATCGACAAACTGGAGAGCGAGTACCAGTTGGTGCAGGAGGCCCTCATTTTTGACAACAAGCACACCAACTACACAATGGAGGTGCGCGCGACACACGATGTTCACCGCTGCGCATGACGCAGGTGCACCAGCTACGCTCGGCAGGCAGAGGCAACGACTCGAGGTCGTTGATTCTGTAACACCTTTGCATTGCTTCCTGTCGATCCCCTAGTTGTTAGGTCAACACCTGCCTGTCAAAGACCCCCCTGTCACTGTATCACCAACTTCACCTTCTGGCTTTAGGTCTGAATATTGGATGCAAACCCGTGGGTGATCATCGCAACCTCCTTTGCATCTATAACCCTCTCTCACCCTATCGTGCAATAACTAAGCCATACTAATAATGTAATTTACGCAGAAAAGTCCTACTTAGTCTCAGTACTTTTTCACGAGGGTCTTGCATTGAGAGTTTTGGCAAATTTTTTTGTAAGGAGATTTGTTTATGGCATACCCACAGAAAACCCATGCACAAGAGGGGAAAACACTCTTAGGTCCAAAAAATAGGTTAATGAACCAATTTGCTGTACTGCCATTTCTTGGCCTGCTTACAGCCCAATGGGAATAAAAAAATGATGTACCAACGTTTGCCTCCAGAGGGCTCGATAACAGGTGTGCACCATCAAGCCCTGATGGTTGGACACTGCACATACCTCGTTCCTCGCACCAACGAGGTCACACACGGGCACGCGGCAAACACGACTCACAGTGGCGGTGCACACACCCAACATGCAGGTGTCAGGCCAGTGGTCTCTATGGTAATGTCATGCTTTGTCTCTAAGACCCTGAGTAGATGGAATTAGCTTCATCAGTATGTAATGTTATAGCTACGTATGGTTAAGCATTACATTATACTTTACCCTTATCCTGTAAGGTGCGGGTAATGTAAAGGCAGGCTGAGAGAATGTCATACATTTACGTCGCGGAATATGAGCGCTCTGTCTTAAGAGGTTTATTGCACCGTGTCGTGTGTTCAGCACATCCGCGTGGGCTGGGAGCAGCTGCTCACGACCATCGCTCGCACCATCAACGAAGTGGAGACCCAGATCCTGACGCGGGACGCCAAGGGTATTAGCCAGGAGCAGATGCATGAATTCCGCGCCTCTTTTAACCACTTCGACAAGGTACTGCAGGTTCTCTTGAAAATATAATAAAGTGGCAATTTATATTCAATACATTAACCGCAGCGCGTACATATTTAGTTTTGTAATTCACTCCATTAAGAAGCATGAATACATAAATGTTAACAATGCAGTACTTGAATGTGCTTATTTTTACGATGCTTATCAGGTGGACTTCATCTGGCCTTGGGTTGACAATGGTTCTACCGTATTCTCTGGAATATTATAGACACTTTTCCCCCTGTATTTTAAAGTAAAATTTGGTGGGTGCGAAGCATTTTGTACAGGAGGTCTGCGTGTGACCAGATTTGTATTACTTTATTGACACCCTGCACTTGTTTTGGGTACGTCTTACGGTAAATGTAGATGTGTGATTTGCTGATCAATGGTTTAAGTTGGTCTCGCCAAACTGTCCCTCATGGTCTAGGATCACTCTGGCAAGCTGGGTGCGGAGGAGTTCAAGGCTTGCCTCATCAGCCTGGGCTACGACGTCGGGAATGACCAGCAGGTGACGTGCAGCCCCATAATTATTTCTGACACCATAAATTGGCTGTTAAGAAGAGTATCGAATTTAAAATACATACACAGTGTGTCCTAAATCGATTTGGAATCTATTTTAGGTATAATATAATTTCTCACATCGTCACTGGTTTAGGTAGAAGTATAGTCTGGGTTGTAAAGTCTTCGTAATAATATTTAGATTGGAATAGGGAGTTTAAAAAAATTGCCAAATGCGATTGACTAAATTCTTTTTTAACTTTCGATTTAAAGCTTTCGTGACTGCAGGGATTCATCTTCTTGGTTCTTTCGGTAAAGTCACGTAGAAGGGAAGTAATAAAATAATAAAAATAAAACATAATAAAACAATTCTCACGACGTTTCGGCCACAACGCAAGCAGCCGTTCTCAGGTGAAAACCAGGTCCGTCGAGGCGACAGAGATCTCTGTCGCCTCGACGGACCTGGTTTTCACCTGAGGACGGCTGCTTGCGTTGTGGCCGAAACGTTGTGAGAATTGTTTTATTATGTTTATTTTTATTCTTTTTTAACCTTTCCCCTAATTTTATCTTGATAATGTCAATGGCATGTTTTGAGATCAAGTTTACATTTTCGTCTCTCGGAGAGAAGTTCAACACACTGTGTGAGAGAAGAGCCCACAGTATCGGATATCAGCTTCATCTGAGATCCTTTCAACTGACCTTTCTTCCACACAGTAGGGGGCAGCACTTTCCCACCCATTCTCCCACTGAGCTTGATGTTCCTTTCATGACATTAAAATGTACATTCTCAGAGCTCAAATTTATCTATATTACGCACATAACCTAATTTTACAAAGTGTTTTTTTTTGTGAATTCATTGGAGACCATCCTAAGGCCATCCAATCACTACACTTAAGAATCCGGTTTAGTCACCGGCGGCAGAATCCTGGATTAAATGATTCATCTGAGCGCAGCGCTGCCTTAACATTCTGAACTGAGACACTCAGCCAACTCCAACGTAACTAAATACTTAAGGTATTTTGTGTATGAAAATGCATTCTACATTGCTAAGTAATTGTCTGTTGTCCCTTGGCCACACAGGGAGAAGCAGAGTTTGCGCGGATCATGACAGTCGTTGATCCCAACAACACGGGCCTGGTCACATTCCAGTCATTCATCGACTTTATGACGCGCGAGACCACCGATACCGACACAGCCGACCAGGTCATCGCCTCTTTCAAGATCCTCGCCGGCGACAAGGTCAGCGTTTCTAGCAGATCATGGGATTTCCCGTGATTCTTTTCTCCTCTGGAGTCAACAGGAATTAAGGTCTGGCTTTTGGACCCGACTTGTCTGAGATATAATTTTTTCTTCTTTGAACATGGGCAACTGTTTTTCAGATTTAGAATGGTTGGCTATGTATGGTGCGAAAGAAGGTCGACATACATTGTATACCCATCAGCCCATTGGTTGTATCTCCTGTCCTTTGCTCTTTACACATAGATGCAAGAGACCTATTCCGTTGATGAAGAAGTTGGAGATCAGTCCTCCTTGAATCGATGCGGCAGGGCCTTCATTTAGGAGTATATTGACGAAGTCTAACAAATTTATGTACAAAGCAGTGTAGGGAGTGTTTTTTTGTGTAATTGTGTACGCCAAAGAAATCGAGTGCTCGCTGAATTAGTGTGTGCTGCCGATGTGTGTGAACTCATGGGTGCAGAACTTCATCACGGCCGACGAGCTGCGGAGGGAGCTGCCCCCGGATCAGGCTGAGTACTGCATCGCCCGCATGGCCCCGTACCGCGGGCCTGACGCCGTGCCTGGCGCACTCGACTATATGTCCTTCTCCACCGCTCTCTACGGCGAGAGCGACCTGTAACCACGGAGAACCGCTCACACACACGCACACCACGCACTCGCACATTCGCAACACGCAGTCACTAGACACAGCACATCCATTCTTGACACCCAACTTCCCTACACTATTCAAGCAGCTTTCAGATGATCCTGACTGCTGCGCACAACAGAGATCGGTTACTAAGCGTGCAGTTTGCCTATCCATGGTCACGCTTGAACAGATCGTGTGCTGAAGTGTGGACCGATGCTGTGCAGAAATTCATGATCCTGTCCTGTGATCCACATGGAGGAATGGCGAACTGGAGTCTGACACTCCCACGCATGACGTGACCACGAATGAACTTCACTTACTGCGTCCTTGGAGAAGGGGGAAGGACAACAGAACACGAAATGCAACAATGAATTTAAATCGAACATACACCTAAACAAGTATACACAAAACAAACTTCGTGTATGTACAGTAAACAAATTTATTTGGCTTACCACCATTGGGTTATTGCTGTATTTGTTTATTATTAAGTAGTTATCAAGATTTACAGAAGTGCCCTTTTGTAGAATAAAAAATTAAGAGGGCTTTGTTTTTTATCTAGTATTTTACTGATATTTCTCGTATCTCAAAACATGTTAAGGCTTAATACATACCATTTTTAGCCATCAGCGCATCATTGAGGAGAAGCCCAGTGTATAAAATAATGTACCCAGGACAATACTTAGTTCTTAAAAAAAATCTATGCATGTCCGGTTGGAAAGCATCAGGCATAGGGTGATACTCGGTCTTGTAAAGAATGTGTTATTTGAGTAGTAATGCGATCTGTTTACAGCAGAGGTGGGAAACGCAGTTAGCATTGAGTTGTTGAGCTGGGTAGATCCACAATTTGGGGGTCTGGTGGTGTGTTTGACTGCACTTGGTGTAGTATTGGCATCTGGAAACACATTGCTTATTTGGCCTAATGACTTCACAATGGTCAGAGAAATATTGCCCACCACTGGATTACAAAAACCTATAGTTATTGTTTTCTTAATATACAGTAGCAGCGTGTGCTAAAAATGTAGGGTTTTTAAATGTAATGTGTAATATGAGAATCTGTTTAAAAACACAAACCGGATGTTACAACCCACCACTTTTAATAGTGTAGGTCTTTACATTTAAAAGCAACTTGGATTTTAATCCCACTGCACAGCATTGTCATTTGAATAACTGCTTCAAGTTGGTGGTCACTGTCCCCCTGCATTTAAGAATGTCTTGCTCCCAAGTAAACCCCGTCTTATTTATATGAAACAGTGTTAGAATTGGATCGGTGCTGATTTTAAATTCTACATTTATATTGTATCTTAACTTTCTTATGAATTTAGTCTTTCCAATCATGGGGCTTAGACAAATGGACCAAGTTACTTAGCTGTATAATGGTGTGTTATTTAACAATTATTTTTTACTGTACCACAATAGTGTTTGCCCTTTATTTTAAACATCAAATGTGGAAATCAGTGGTTTTTAGTGGAAAGACAGCGAGGTGAAGTGTTAATCTTGCTGAATGAAATGTTGGCGTTTTACGAGTGATTGCCTTTCCACGGTATTGTTACAGGGTTTTAACTTTGACCGCATATTTTTAATGTGGACGTGGAGATAAGCAGGCCTCAATGAAACTCCACTGGGCAGACCGCAGACGTCCCTGGATGCATTGTGCAGATGTGTAATCACGTGGGTAAATAAAGGCTTACGTTGGATATAACCACATTGTGCAAGTATTTGTCATTGCTATATGCCAGGTGAATCTTGCGTACAGTAAGATTTCAACCCTTTAATGGAGTGGTTCTCAAAGTCCAGTGCGCAGACCAACAGTGATCAACGAAGGTCCTCCAGGTGGTTCACGGACTGTGGTGCAAATGCAGGTTGATCCAAATGCAGGAAACAATGTTTATATACTGTTTGTTTCGGACATGAATTCGCATTTCACTTACGATGTTGAGTAAAAAAATGAAGTTCGGTAAACTACCCCGATTACGCTAACCCCGAGATCTAAATTCCCCCTCCAAAATAAACCTTATACTGTAGCTGTCTTCTTTTAATGTTCTGGTAAACGAATCATTGAGTATCACTGGCATTTCTGGAGAAGTGAATGCGTTTTGTCACTGGTCCGCGGAAATGTTTGCATTGGTTGAGTGGTCCGCGGGACGATACAAGTTTCATAAAACCGCTTTAATGCACAACAAAAATGTAAACACGTGGCGTTGGGCTTGGGGTGAGATTCCAGTCGCTGAACCAATGACCGATGCTCCCATTTCCACCAAATGGCAATCCGTGGTTTTGGGAAACCTTCCCTGATTTTCATTGCTGCTTACTGTAGTGTCGTTTGCAGCATATGACTCGGCAATGGCCTTTGTTTCAGGGTCATTCCTTGTGCTAGGTGTGTGACGAGTGTGCAGTTGAAAAACACATTCCTGCGGAGGGAGCTAGTAGGAACGTTGGGTTGCTCGGTCAATGGCCAGGGTCAACGGCGGCGTGGTGTATTCCGCAAATATGCCCGACTGAGGGCGGGCACAAGCCGGCGTGAGTAGGTTAAACGTTGAGTTTTATAAGGGCACCACGGGGTGACCAGCCCCTCCCCACCCAGCCCCACCCCTCCCACCCTCCGCACCCAGCCCCTCCGAGCCCCTCCCCACCCTCCCAGCCCCACACTCTCCACACAGCCTCTCCCTGCACGACGGACACAATAATCCCCTGTGGGCTGGTGTAACCAGGAGGTTCCTACCAGTAAAATACTGTACGATATACCTTGCTGAATTAAATGAGTGAACATTCACAAAGTGTGTTCGGGTTCGCCCCAAGATTGATCTGTAACCCTGTACATAACATCGCAAATCGTATTTTATATGCACCATGCCATGTTTAACTTTGGAGTATAGTTCAGCATTGTAGGGCTGTATCTAAGATAGAGTTTCAATGCCATTAATCATGTGTATTGCGACCAAGTACGTTTTGGGAGTGGTGGTCATAGCTACGTTTTTGTGGTTGCAATGGGGACTGGTGGCTTCGAGTTAGAACCAGAGCAATGGATTCGGTCATTGTTTAGCATTGGCAATTTGGAATTGCGCCTACGTGGGCTTTCGCCAACTTAATTTTGGCTTTGACGAGCCAGTTTAAGGGTTTGAATTCACCATGATTAGGCATTAAGTTTGGCGGCACCGGGGGGGGGGGGGCTATGGTTTACAACTATGGCTTTTGGCAGGGGTATACTGTAATAATGTAATACAGGCATTAAACCCAGCGCCAATAGTTTTGCAGATCACTCCACGCAAAAGTTGTTCCCGTTTCAAAGAGTTGAGCCCTTGGCTCAAGCTCGGACCGAGTGGGTCCCCGTTAGACGCCGGGTTCAGGGCTGGGGGAGGAGCCTATGACCGTTGCTCAGCAGGTGAATCGATTACTACCTTAATCGATCCACAGATTGCATCGACGCGGCGTTCCTCGCCACCGCTCGTCTCCGCGACCACTTTAAGCTTTCACGCAGGTCTCGCATTAAAACCAGCGTCAGGGTTACACCCAAAAAGACCTCGAGCGAGGGCAGCTGGCGCTGCGGGGCGCACGGAAAGCTCAACTCTGCGATCCGCGCGGGGAATCGATTCGTGCGGGAGAATCGCTGCCGGCGCGAAGTCGTGACTCGCGCCGTGGGACCCCGGATGTTGTCGCCTCCGCTGCCGAGGTCCGGGCCGCGCCTCCCGCTCCGCTCCCGCCGTCCTGCAGCGCTCAGCGACGTCCAGCCGCCAACATGGTGAGTCTCTCACGGGGTTCCCGGGGCCGGGAGATCCCCGGGTCGGCCGAGTGCTTGGGCACCGCGGGCGGCGTCGTGTTCCGAAGCTCGCGACCCGCACCTTCGCGGGGTTCCGAGACACCCACCCCACACCGTTGTCGGCTAGCCGGTCCCACCGACCGAGGGCGCCCTTGCCTCGGCGGGGTTCGCTAGGCGAACGGTGGGGGGCTGTGAGGCCTTTACGAGGCCTACGCTTTAATACATTGTCAAATATGAGATGCAATGTTGAAATGTTTCAATTGATCTACGATGCGTATCTTTGCTTCGATGTTTACGCCTGCAAAGCGCGTTGGCTGCTCTGATTTTAAATACATTAAAGCCGAGTAGCAACCGAGGAATGGAACTCGTTCGCGAAATTAACGTCCACCGAGGAGACGGAGCGCTGAAATGGGCTCGTGTGTATCAATGGTGAACTTATTTTGCACCGATTCGCTGCCAGTCGTGCAAAGTCGGGAGTTGCGAATGTGTCGGCGCTACGCCGCACATCGCACGGTCGTGAGAAATGGCGACGGCTGGGACGAGGCCTTCATCCATCGGTGGAATGACCATGGGCAGTGATCGTAAAAGATGATGATTGTGGTGGTGGTGAGGCTGATAGGGATGATGATGATTGTTCGCGGGATCACGGATGGGGATGGTGGCCTATGTGCTCGGTGAGGTTTTGGGGTCCGTGGTGCCAGGGTTGGGGAGGGACGTGCAGTGATGGAGACGCGGCTTCGTGCGGCGAGGGATCGGCCTGCGCTGAGCCCAGAAACAGCCGAGTATTTTATTCTTAAAGCGCGAGGAGATACAATCTCTGTTTGTATGTCAATAAAGCATAGGGTGGTATGTGTGTCAGCGTTGCGCAAACACGAAAGTAGTACAGTACGAAATAGCACGGCCCACCGCTTTAGCCATCGTCATCTGAGCCTATTTTATTGTACATGCTGGAGTGTGTAGTACATGTTTGTGTACACGTTTGATTGTACGCGTTTCACACTTGCTTGCGTACACGTTAGAATGTGCACACGTGTGCGCGTGGTTCAAGAGTGTACACGTTTAGCTTGTGTACGTGTTTCAGCGCGAGCGTGTCCTTGTTTACGAGTTCTAAAATCCGCACACGCTCGATTGTGTACTTTGTTTGTATGGGCGCGTGCTCCGCTTGTTGATGTGTTTGGATGTACACACGGTGGAATGTATTCGTAAACAAGCCCGTATTTTGCTGCAGTTTTGCTCTGCCTCCAAATGAGTCCGCTGAGATGCGCCTTGGGGTGGCTCGTCCTTCAGTGAGCCATCTTATCTGTCTTTTGTGTTTAGAAGCGGGCAGGCCCGTCTATTAGAAATGAAAGATAGATAATGATGTTTAATAACAAACGCGCCCGCGGTAAACCCTTCTGAAATGTTATGTCAATAAGGTCCCCGTTGGAAAATATAAAAACGCAGTAATGAGCTCCCCTTTCCACGCTCTCTCCTGTGTTTCACACGTACGTGTATGCTAATAGTCGCCCGAGTTAAATGGACTTTCTCGCCTCTTGAGTGTCTTTAAAGCTGAGCCGCCGGGAGCCACATGAGGCAATGGAAGAAGAAATCGACTAGTCGTTAAATACATTAGTAAATCGTGTAATCGGTTAAATGATCACGACTATCTCCAATTAGTTGTGTTGGTGGAGGGGGGGGCGGTTTTTATGTTAAAAAATAAAACAAAACAAAGCTTATTTTAGAGCACGGCTCAGTTTTCATTTGGCTCCATTCGCTGCTTGTCAACATAACCTTCATTGTGTATATATTGTCCTGGCAGGTATAGTACACGCGGGCTTGTGTGAATGCGCGCCGTGTATGCGTGAGCGCTTAAAGGTTTCGTGTTATTTCTTTGCAGGGGAATGACTTGAGTTATCCGCTGGACATGTGCACGCACTGTAAGTACTCACCCGATTGAACGCGAGTTGGTGCTTTAAACGCGTGGGCAGGGAGCGCCCGTTGTTAGTGTGATCAGAACGAAGGGTGCCTGACCCGGAGTTCTCTTTGTGCTTGTTACGAAAGACCTAATCAGGATTATTGCACATTTCCCTTTCGTATGGACGTATGTGTGAACGTTTTGATGTCTTAAAATAAGGAGTGACTCGACAGCTGGCAGCACAGCACAGCTGTAGGTGTTGTGTGTGTGCAGTTATATTGCTGCCTTACCCATGTCAAGGTTTTGTCCTCCAGTTAACTAAAATCCAAGCGCCTTTACCGAATTTGCACTGTACGGTTGTTATTAATGTGGTGGTGATTTTTTTACGCAGTTTTATTTACAAAGACGTACATTGACGAAGTCAATTAATGATGATGTTAACGACCGTCACGAATGTTATTTAGAAAATGTTTTTTAAACATATGCCCCTCAAGTAATATTCTCTTGCTGCGGCGGCCATCCTTACCAAATTTATCTCACGAGGCTTGTAAGGGATATGTTGCACGGTGCAGCTAAGGGGGATACGGACCATAATCGGGCCAAGATGTCGCTGGTGGCGTGACCTTGTGGTCCGACCCCATGGGCTTGCGGAGAGCGCCAGCACCCGGGAACACGTGTCCGCACAGGTTGGCCATTGTGTGCCCGTGTTTGCCACAGAGGGGAGAGTGGGAGACTGGTGAAGATTGGTTTTGGGTGGGGGGGAGTGCAGTTGTTTTTGTTGTAGTAGCTGCTGCGGAGCATTCTCTACACAGTTTGGATGTAAATTTTTTTCACCGTTTCTTTCCAAAGTACCCGTGCTAAATAGGCAAATCTATCGAATGTTCATCTTTGTGTTGACCGAGAATAATGCAAATAATGATACAGTTAGTATGAATGTTAAATAATTTTACTTGTGCAAACCCATACTACGTAATTATTCAACAAGTTGTGGCGTGTGAATTATCGCTCATTAATATTCCACATCTACTTACAGAATTTACTATTGCCCCCACAACTGCCTGTGCAACATGCTTTAGGCCCACTGATGATTTACATGCTGCATGAACCGTTACCTATTATACGTTGTCAGAGAGAAGTATAGTTGTTATTTTGGAATTCTGTGAAAGTTAATATTTCAGCTTTGTATTTGGCTGCCGGAGCTCAGAGGCCAGCTGTACGTTATGTGATTCTGAGAAATAGCATCATGCTCTTGAGTGTTGTGAATTTGTGTACTGGTTATCATTGAGGTACAGATCAAGTCGCCGTGCAGTCCTGTTGAAGCACAGGTGGTATATTAGAGTATACTTAAATAATTCAGGTATATTTAATATACGTTGTGAATGTACAGCATTTTGCTTTATTTGCTCTATGCTATTGTTACAGAGCTCGTCATTCTTTGTGTTTTAGGTCAACTTTAGCATTGCATCATCACAATGGAGAATGTATAGTGCCTTGGCATTATTAGCGGACTACATACTTGGCAATTGACCTCTATGTGTCCATTTACAGCTGCTGCCGTTATGTTTAATGTCAGTAGGTTAGCTGAACAATGGTCAGCATTTGCATCTCAATAAACATTTTACGGTTGCTTCATGGTTAATTAAATTACTTTTAAATGCTTATAATGCAGCGCTTCAGGTTATCGCGCGGAATATATTTACATGCGTGATTTACAGACATTTAACAATTGGAGTGAAGTGGTGGGAGCAGTGATTACTGCAGTGCACCACGAACATGGTCACTTGAGTTTGATTCCCAGACCTGTCTCACATCAGTGACGAGATATCTGAACAGGTCTTCGATTCTCCCTTTTTCCTGCCCACACTGACCAGCGTGGTGAAGTGTGGCCAAGCTCACACAATTGACACAATTTGGGGAGGCCTTCCAGAAGTAGATTGGCAAATGGCTGTTTTTTATATTGCAATTAAACATACATTTTTTGTTTATTGTCCTGTGAGGCCCACTGACATTTTCCATTACATCTAAATATTAGTGGGGAAAATAATACCAATTTATCCAATTATTCACTCCTTGACTTAAAGCTTTTGTGACTGCAGGAATTCATATATTTATTTTTATAAATATAAGACTTTACTGAAATACCAAAATAATATTCACTCCTTCAGTTACTGTTTTAAATAACTGATGGATAATCTGTCCCAAGTGCTTGACTGTGATGTTGCCTTTTTGTTGGGTTTGCAACTCAATACACTTTTTTTATCGTGCCGTACTTATAGCACGATATTTTGAGTTCTATGTTAAATATAATAATTTCACATTTGAAGGAATTATAGAGAGATCAAAGAGACTCACCCCTGGTGGCTGGTAGTATTTGTAATTTAATTACACAAAGACCCCACTGTAGACTAATGACATCTGAAAATCTGCAGATGCAAGCAACTTCTTTTTTATACTCGCAACTTGCATTAACGTAATGAATCTGTTAATATAATCTATGGACTCACCATTGTTTAATCATTCCATTTGTTACTTGGCAATCCTACAAAACTGTCTCAAGTTTTTAATTACCGCAATTGTCTCTGAAGGCCTCGAGTGCCGAATAACTTGATCATCCATTTTCTGTCCACTGCAGGATGAGGATCTGCCGTTGACCACGACTGTGCATGTTTAAAAGGTCCCGTCTGTGTCGCCACCGTGCAGTTGACGCAGACGAGATAAAACGGCTGGGGAAGCGATTCCGCAAGCTCGACTTGGACAACTCGGGTTCGCTGAGCGTGGACGAGTTTATGTCTCTTCCCGAGCTGCAGCAGAATCCTCTTGTGCAGCGCGTCATCGACATCTTCGACACTGACGGCAATGGGGAGGTCGACTTCAAAGGTAGGAGCCCCCAGCGAACTAACGCCCTAATGCGATCACCAGCCGCCGCTTCTTGCGTTTGCTATCGCAGGTCGATATCCAAATCACTCGATCGTCACCCACACGATCGAGTTCACTCAGCCTGCCAGCTGTTGCCATATCCTGTAGTCCTCGAAAACGTTTCATGGTCAGCATCATGGTCACATGTCGTAGGGGTGGCTCGCGTGTACCGACGTGGTGCCAAATCGGCATGCCAAGTCAACCGTAGCGACGCACCAGGGGCATGAGTACAGAACGTGCTTGTAAAGTCCAGCAGGCAGGGATTATGGGCAGATACTAAATGTCATGAGGGAAAGCGTATAAAAATTCCAAGAAAATTTGGCTGTGCTTGTGAGATTGCATAGGTGTGGCCGTGGTTGTTTGCGATTACATTATCATGCCACTACTGAAATTCCCCGAGGCAGCACGAACCTACGTGTTGCAACGTTAGTGGCCATCTGTACAAAAGTAGGCTGTGCACAGTGCGAGTGTATGAAATTTACTTTTGCTTTAAACTTTGTTCACAGAATTCATCGAGGGTGTTTCTCAGTTCAGTGTTAAGGGCGACAAAGATCAGAAGCTGAGGTGTAAGTTGCTATCCTGTGTTCGCATTATGATTTATTATAATTAATCACAATGTAAGAATTTACTTAATTTTCATAGATTTGGAATGCATTTTTGCAAGTAAAACCTTTCTGCTTCACATTGTGAAACCTAACATACAATAGTGTGCAACCGTGCGTTTGTCCCACAGAACATGACATTTTCGTATGGGTTTTTTTAATCTTTCCTTCACGCCCGACAGTTGCCTTCCGAATTTACGACATGGACAAGGATGGCTACATCTCAAATGGGGAGTTGTTCCAGGTGCTGAAGATGATGGTGGGAAACAACCTCAAAGATACACAACTTCAGCAGATCGTTGACAAGACCATCCTCAATGCCGACAAGGATGGGGATGGACGGATATCTTTCGAGGAGTTCTGCGCCGTGAGTTTTTTCTCCCAACCTTTGCCTGCCTAGGGCTCACTTAGCGCGCACCGCGACACCTGTGGATTGGTTGTGCTCGTCGTGTTGTAGAAATCTCTGTTGTGTGTATTTTTTTGCAGGTGGTGGGAGGCCTCGATTTCCATAAGAAGATGGTTGTTGATGTCTAATCTGCCAATGCCTGGCATCTACGTGCGTACCGTTTGCTGTGTGCACACTCGTTTACTGCTTTGAAATGCGGCTGTCTGGCAGCCAAGCCCAGTGAGCCATCTACTCCTGCCGTACTCAAGTAGTGCCATTTTGTTTCAATTTCTTTAGTCTCAAAAACAAAACACAAACAAAAGAGAATCTCAGCGTGGGCAGTAAACCGATATATCTGTTCTGGTCTCCTCTTGAGTATAAGGTGCCCTAGCACTCCATGGCGTTGTCAAATGACTTGCCAGCGGCCTTGTACTGTGCCAGTCAATGAGATGATGACAAGCACGACAGTATTTTAAACTCCTGGCTGTGAAACGTACCGACTGCTTCGTGTCCACCCTGCTCCCCTGCAGAACAGCCTAGGAAGCACTGCGAGCCGAGTATGAATGCTTGTTACTTTTGCATGTTGAGACAAATGTAACTTCATAATGAGATTTTGTTAAAGATATATATGAGTGCATTACACCAACTCCAGTTTCCTTGATGTTATATATTAAATTATTGCGACTTTACACGCATCTTATAGATATTTGTTTACCTGGAAATTTTAAGTCTAGCTAGATATTTATGAAGAAACGTAGCGTATGTTTATATTGCAATTATTTATAAAACTGCATTTTCCGCACCACAGAGATAGCATAAAAAGTTACACTGCAAATGCTTGAAACTCGATTTTGAATTTTTTTTTGTTTCAAATAGACTCGTACAAGAACATATTTCATATTTAGTTGAAACATGAGGTGGTCTTTATGTCGTGAAGTGCAGATCAATCGTTTTCACTCTCTTCAAGTAATATTCAGCACTTCAAACAAATACTCTGAGCTCCTGGGCAAAGGGGATAACTGGGAGCCTTCACCTGTATTTTCGGCACTTTCTGCAAAGGGTATATTGGCCTTAAACGTTGCCTCTGTGCAGGAAGAGGAGTTGGTGTAATGCGCTGCCAGTGTCCTGGTCCGTGTTTAGCATGCAGTGTGAGTGGCCGGCTCCCAGCAGACGCACACGCGTGCATGTGTAACGCAGCACCCCTGTGCCCCCCGTGGTATGTGCTGCCGCCGTGACTTTGCTTGCTTCACGTGTCGCTGTCAGTCGCGGCCGCACGCCTGCCCGGGGTGCGTAGCATGCTCTCTTCCTCCGCCTGGACGTTTGTCCGCTCGCCCGCCTGACAGTCCTCCCGCTGGCCCATCCATCCATCCACCTACCCACCCACACACTCGTCCGCACCTCCGCTGCCCTACCCTCCATGCGTAGGGACGAGCTTTGCGCATGCTTCCACCCTGTAGCCGGGCAAGGGTCTGCACAGTCTTCTTTATTTTTTTAAATGAAAATCTTTTTACTTCGTACGACATTTGTAAATTGTAATTTATTTTCTTTTGCTTTCAATGCAACTCGGACAATGCCAAACAGGTCTGAATATGGGGGGGGGGATGAGTTTCCAGCAAATGGCCAGCTAGCAATCGATACAGAACAAACGCTTACGCGACGCTAAAAGGGGGACAATGCAGAGGGAAGTTAACAAACGTTCAAAGTTAAATATTTTCGTCGTGGTATAATTTTTGCGCGAAGTTCATTACTCAATGGAATGTTGAGTATATCTGTATCAAATAATTATCTTTATTTAAATTCGTTTTTTTTGTCAAAGTATAACTATAATATTCCAGCACAGTTTGATAGTGAAGTGAATGCTTTGTCCTGAGTGTGTGGATTGGTCCCGGGTCACTGATGAGTACCTATCTTATAGGTATGCAATATTTTTAGCAGACGTTTAAAACTGGTGATTGTTTAAATCGAGCAGTTTATGCGAGGCAACTGTCACGCACTGCTTTAATTTGAAAAAATTGTATCTTCGATGGTGCGCACTTGAATGAGATTGGCCTTTGTTATGTAGTATTGCTTTTATACATTTTAACCATGTAAAAGCAACTTGGCAGCTGTTAATATGCTCAACTGACAACTGGTATACAACTGTGTTTATATTGCTACATAATTAGCGTACACATTTAACGTCAAACTGTTCCCGTACTGTAGACTGGTAAAAACTGCGATGAAATTGAACCTGCCGTGCCTTCTCGTATAACCTACGTTTCAGAATGCTGCGAACTCGCACGCATTAAATGGAGTACAATAGCGGTAATTTTCATCAAGTGAACCTCATGGCGGTACCCCGGGATACCATAGTACAACCCCGGCTCTCGCGTAATGTCCGTGATGCAGTCATTTTTAGTCTGGTGGTGGTCGGCGATGCGGCAATCGATTCATCTCGACGAGCTGTACACGATGCACCACTACGGTCCGTGTGAGCGTTCACGGTTTCAGCGCAATCGTCCTTGCTGCGTTTCGACATCACGGAGTAGCACTGATTTCGGACTGATTGGTACCCGTGTCGCGGAGTTAAGTACACCCCTGGAAAAAAATAGTGTCCCAGATAATAAAATATTTAATTGCCTCGGCCATTTTGTATTATTTCTTACCTCGTTGTACCGCCATAAGGATCAAGTGGCTAATTAACAGCGGCGCTAAGAGAATTGGTGCTAATGCTTTTATTTTAAGTGTTCCATCGTCCACGTGTCGTCGTAGTAAATTTCCATATCATTTAACAATCAACATTAAATCACTGGTGATGGGATGGTCCGAGTGGACAGGGGGGTTGGTATGCTAGCAGTGTAGAGTTGGTGTACATTTTATGCTGTGTAAATACATTTCATTTTTTTTTATACAAGCTCCCAACATACACAACACATACTTTGGCTTAACAAAATGAAATTCAGTTTGCGAATTAACTTAAAGAAACACGGAATCTGTATTGATTGATCTTGGCAGAAATAATCAATTGAAAATTACATTCTCATGCAATAGACTTCGCTGTTTGGCTAATGGTTTAGTTTTAACAGGTACCGCGTTGCACAGTCATTTTGGTATTGCCGTAAACAGGTGACCGTATTTTAACATGCATTTCATGTTGGTGGCTGGTGCTTTGCAAGCAGATTTTTTACCAGTCTAAGCAGGCAGTTGAACGTTGTTTTAGGGATGCACAATAACAATGCTTCGTATAGTAGGTGCATTTTACTGGTTGCTTATTATGCTGTTTTACGTCCCAAAATTATAATTATATTTGGGTAAAGGACAATTGGTTGTTTATTAATTCTATAGATTGTGAGGCCCTGCACGCATGCATGCAAGTAGCTGGATTATCGACTGGCTTGCAAGTCAAAGCTGGCTCTTAGCGTCTTGCCACCTGAACTGATCTTAAGGTATTGCGCTGGAATGCAATGAGAAATTCTAGGTTGTGTTTCACGAGAAAATGTAATCATCGGCAGGAGTTGCTTAAAATTGCTCGGAACGTAGCAGCCATTTCCTCATTTCAATTACGTATAGTTGCAAACTCAATTATGGAAACGTCTTTCTACTGAAGTGAGCATCCGTGATGTGACTGGGTTAATGACACCATGATGCGTGTGCATGTATCTTGCATGAACACATTCGTTGGTAAAATTTTGATTGAAATATGCATGTAAAGCACGTAGGCGATTGACCCGTAAAATACACTGCTGTATGCGCCCGTTCACATCTAAAACGCATGTCAGGACAATGATGACATTGAGGAATTGAGTTTGCAATTGATAACGTGGGCTGTTTTTGGAAAGAAAAAAAACATTTTGTAATGAAACCGGAGAACGGCTGTATCAGTTTTACATGATCCTGTCTTGCATGAGGAACTTTTACGAGTCTCGTGATTGGTGAGAGCACGTGTGCTCTTTAACTCAGTGGCGTGGTCATGTCGCACTACCCTAGAGTACATATAATGCAAGCATGGCATGGTGACCTTTGCTTATTGTTGAAGTACGTAGGTGATTTGAGTTTGTGCTTTCCATCGATGCAGTGCTAGGTATTTTTCAGCTTTTTTCCTGGTTAGTATGAAGATTTCTTAAGTGCAATGTTTCCCTGCATGGCGTATCTGATGAAGGGACAGTTGTAAATAAGTTTGTAGCTGCTGACGTGCACAGGATGAAACTAAACGCAACGTCGCCAATTGCTAGCGGGGATTGTATGCAAGGAGAAAGCCAAAGTATTTGTGTATTTCGAATATGCCTGTTTATTTTATAAATCAATCCAAGCATGACGTTGACTTTAATAAAAATGTGAGTTGAAGTCGTGTAGTCTAAACGGCCACTTAGAGAAACAGCAGTCATCTGCACATTCTTTTGTTTGGGATGGTTTGGAGTCTCGAGGGAATTTTGATGCAATATTACCTGTTTTCTGTGAGCTATTCAAAAGGGGGAAAAAACGTAAAAAAAATGCTTTTAAATATATTAATATTCCGTTTTAAGTTTTACATCACACACTAGAGATCACCTTCATTTAGCGGATCGTGGTAAAGCACTAGCAGGAATTTGAGCGAACCAATATCGTGCAAATTATGTTTTGGATGCAATAATGTAATATTATGAAGAAAACATTTTCATCATGCAAGATGGAACCACCAATTGCAATTTTTTTCCAGCCAAAGCAATGAAGTTTGTGTAATTTTCTACACATTCATGCCAATTGTTGGCCATGATGCATGCAATTGAAAACTGATTTTTTTTTCAACTTTTGGGTCAAAAATGATCTCGGCAAAGGAATAATTGTTTGCTAACAGGGGATTAAAAGGAAGCGAGCATAAATTGGAATAGATTACAAAGTTTCAGATTCGCATTAAACATTCACGATAAAATCGGACATGAATATTCCCTTGAATCTGCACAACAATCAAGGAATAAATTCGGGTGTGCGATGCTATGAAATAAAGTGTGTCGGTCACGTAGTAACTCGTGTGATATTTGCTTGAATTGGAATTCCGCATTCAATTGTACGATAACTTCACAAGAAGAAGCCTGTGACTTTTTGCATGCCCGTTAGCCATAAATAACGTATTTAGCAGCAGCAGCAGCTTCTCTCCGCGTATGGTAAATGTAAACGTTAAAACTCGATGATTCTGAAATACAAATTTAATCGCGTGTTTGCTGGGATGTAACAAATGAGCTGCAATAACAGGATCTGAATTGTGCTATTTTTTTGTACATAACTGAAAATGGACTGTGCTCTTTTGCATGTTTATGGATTTGTACATTTATACATGTTACATTTTTATCTGTTGTCAAAAGAATGAGAATAAATATTTGTTTAAAGTTATGGTATCTCCTCGGTGTTCATTCGTTGTCCGTTTTGTTTTGTTTACAAGCGGAAAGAAGTACGGATTCTTCCGTTTATCTCACATTTTAATCTCGTGACACGTGCATCAAATTGTGCGTGCAAAGCCGGCAATGTTTTTTTATAGTACCGTATGTTACCACCCTGCAGCTACCAAAGGTTGCTACCATTCACAGCAACGTCAAAAAATAAATAAATAAAGGGACTCCTCTACTTACGAACGAGTTAGGTTCCAGTGGTCCGTTTGTAAGTCAATTTCTTCACAAGTCCAGCTTTACTCCTGTCGATTCCAAACATGTTGTACAGCATGTACACTAAACATGGAATGGCTTTAAAAAGTGTATAATCTCCTGTAGATGTAGATGCCACTGGTTCACGTTCTGCAGATGTAGATGACACCACCGCCATCTATTGCGCAACTCGGTCTGAACAGGCAACTGAACATATGGACAGGTTTGTTCGTATCTCTGAAAGTTCGTGAGTCGAATGATCCGAAGTAGAAGAGTCCATGCTTCAAATAGTGACCCTGAACCGTGGCAATTCACCACATCGCCAGGAGAGCTGTTCAATTAGTCTCGAGAAACGATGTTACTATGCATGTTGAACTTCTTTCGCACCGTACGTAAACGTGCTAATCGGGATAATTGTTTTTTACAATGTCATCCAGCACCTGTCACGCACGCAAAGAATAAGGTTATTTTGCACAAGGGTAGGTTTGATGCAGATCTAACCACATACCAACGTTGCATGTTTACCGGTAGGGCATCATCTCGCAGGCCTTGTGGCCTCTCAACCTTGAGGGCGTTCACCATCCCAAGAGACAGCCGTCAGTAACGTCATGGTCCCACTGCTACCTCGACGCGGGGATTGTGGCCAGGATGGGGTGGCGGCGGGGAGGTGGGGGTCCGGGACATCCGGCAATCCACAAGTGAGGCCACAGCCTTTGCTGGAGGGCTCCTGGGAAATCCCCAATTATAGGGGGCGGGGGTGGAGGAGGGGGGGGGTTCCTGGGAAGACTGCAACGCCTGGTGGTGGCCAGTCGTAGAACCACGTATGTCGCTTTAGTTGGGTAAAAAAACAAGTGTGATTGTGCTGCCAAGGTCAACATGAAGCCCTCTGATGACGGTCAGGGCTGCCATTGCCTCCCTTTCGGGTCACAGCGCCCCCTCGTGCACGAGTCACTCGCGGGCCCGCGCCACTGCGGCAGCTGCCAAACCGCTGGGCTGGTTCAAGACCTTGGCACCGTTGAGACCAGACCGTCGGTCACCTGGCATTACAATCACACAATCATTGTTTCCCACTCATGGAGTTGGCCCAAATATGCCAATGTATGACCGCAGGAAGCCACTGGAGATGTGCACTTTTAAATCTGGATTTAGAATGCTTTTTGTTTTTCGTTTGTCCCCCCCCCCCCCCCCCCGCACGTCCGATTAGCACAGTTGTCTACGTACGGTGCGAAAGAAGTTCAACATACAGTACCTACACAGAACTCGGGCAATTGTTGGCTCTTGTTGAGAGCGAAACCTGCGCGTGTGAGACATTCTACATTAAATTAATCCACTTACAGTTCATTGTATAATTAATACAAACGACACGATTACAACAACTGCATTTGACCCCCGGGGTCTGGCTCTAACTCCGCGTCTCCCATCTCCTTCATCTGGCCGCAGTCCCCTCTCGCTGTTGGCACAGACCCACAGAAGTGGAGCCCTCGCGACTCGTCGTCGTTTAGCTGTGCTTCAACACCTAACGACATTCAGGAACTATAAAGACTTTGACCGCATCCAGGGTGACTCCTGCTCACGACGAGCGGATTTGTTGAATGCACAGTACGTAATGTATGTTTTTGTTATCTCCCAAAGCTAAATTAAGCAATGAATTAAACCGGTTCACCATCACGGCCGTTCTGATGAGGTCATGCCACGAGTCAAGCAGCTATTCCACGCTAGAGCTGAGCTCTTATTAACGCCTAATAATGCTGGACATAATCTCCAGTGAAACGTTGGACAGCATTGCCAACATTTTGGTTACTTTTCAATTCTTTTGGTTTGCTGGAAAAAAAAAACCCAAACCAATCGGCATATTTGTCCGCGTGACAATTTAATTGTCTATTGCTGGGTGGTGGACGGTTATTATTGTGACTCACATTTTGCCTGCACCACGACCTGACCCAAAATGCAACTAAATTTTGAATGACAAAGTTTCGTGTCATCTTTTGTGCAGTCGTTGGTGGTGTGGGCGAGACCCCGACTCGCGTTGAGAACCCGGATTCAAACCCCGACGCTCATTGGACTCGGCTCAATTTCTCTGACCCCCGGGATCCACCCGGTGACCCTGTCCATTGGCTGAGTTCTCCTTCGATTGCAATCATCGACGGTGACCACCAGGGGGCGATGCTCACCGTGGAAACCCACTCGGTGGGAACCTTTCCTCGACCTCCCAACAACCACTTGATTCCTCGCCCCTTCCCATCGCAATAAAACTACCCCACCAAACTCCAGTCAAAGTGAACATTGAGGCGATGCTCATCGTACAGTCGTTGAGCCAGTGGTGGAAATTCCACATTCCCATGACAGGGGCGAGTCGAGCTAGAGGACAGACCACTTTAGTCTTCCTCCACATCGTGGTGTTCGTTTCGAGTGGTGCCTGGAGGACTGATGGGTTGAATCAACACCCAACCAGGATTTGAACTCGAAACCCTTCCGGCACTGGCCGCGTCTGACCTCACTCTTGAGCGTGCGACGTTTGGAGACGGTAACCCCGGCACGATACGCGCACCAAGTCGCGTGTGCGCAGCGATCAATGTTTTATGATTTGTAGTTGCTGCGCCGATGCAAGCGTGGAGAGGGGGCGGCAGATAGGGGAACGAGCACGCCGGATGAGAGAACGCACGCAAGGTCGAGACGGCGCTTTACTCAGTGAAGTTAAGAGGGCTTGGGGCAGGGACGCGTCGCTCGAAGGGACGATTGCCGCGGTGGTCGAGACTCAGGACGCAGTGGCAGCCAAAGGAGTTGGGAGGAAGGGGGCTTTGTTCTGTCGTGCGTAGAACACGGTTGCTGGTGGTAAGGGTATTTTGCACGTAATAATATCATGTGGCGTCCATAATAGAGGCTTTTGAGTTAACGGCACATTTATATTTAGGCGATCTAATCCAAAACACCTCTTAAGGATATTGGTTTGCAAAATTCTACGTGTTAAACTGATCATGTGACGTATCCAGCTACTTGAGGCCGCAACACTCACCGCAATGTGATCAAAATAAACAATCATTGAATCCAATTGAAAACCAAGAATTTGCGACGAGTCGTACAAGTCTCATAACGACCATATTTCGATTTAAAGCTTTCGTGACTGCAGGGATTCATCTTCTTGGTTCTTTCGGTAAAGTCACGTGCCTTTACCGAAAGAACCAAGAAGAAAAAAGGACCATATGTGAAATAAAATTTCATGCAAGTAACATGCAAAGGTGTAAGTGGGCATGAACTGTAATCTTCGAAGCCAATCCACTGCTGTCACCACTGAAACACAGTCTGGTAATAATCATAATCAGATATGATTATAATTTGAAACAACCATCACGAGCTATTCCCATAATAATGCATCATAATCAGTAAGTGATCATTATTCGCTTCGCTCTATGGAACTGCTGTGTGGAAGGCCTCCCCACAGGCAGTCGGCCACCTTCTTCAGGGCCTCACGGCCTCTCCCCCCGGGGTCTCACCGTTTCCGTTCTCATCATTGCCTCGGGCGGGTTTGCCGAGGCATCTTCACAAAGCGAGTGTCTTCACCGTGGCCACGCGCCGCGCTCGCCTGTCCTTCATTAGCGGCGCGGTCTTTTTTTTCTTATTCTTCTTCTTCTTGTTGGGATGTTCTGTTGAAATACCACACGTGCTGAAATCCGACATCAATAATGTACCCCGGGAATTTCAAAGCCCGAGCTTAATTAATGCCGCGCGATCTACGGGATCCCAGCACTCACAAAGCCAATTACACGCAGTTCTAATTATCTTTTAATTATTGCCGTACAATATTTAGTATCTAAAGTCGGGGGATGCCTGGCCCAACTAATGGGAGGATGCAAATTCACAAATGACCCCCCATTAGAGCGGACTCGTGCTAGCTGTTTGCTTGAGTGTTCCGCTGCATCTGATCATCCCATCTGCCTCGGCTTCATCCATCTGGACGGACGGCGGATGCCTCGTATTTTTTTTGGGGGGGGGGGGGGGGTTTAATAACGCTAAAGCTGTTGATTGCTTCTGGGCGAGCAGGGGTTACCCAACTCGCACCTTTGCCTCTGACCATATTATGGCACGGAAATGTTTATTTCCGACACCTGTGCTAAAACTCACACACACACACAATGCCCCCCCCCCCCGTATTGCCTTTCACAAGACTCTTGTGGCAAGCGCTCTTCGCGAGCACCCCGAGTGGGTTGTCAACACCACGCCCGGCCGCCTTTGTCTCTTCAATGCTGTTGTTTACAAACCTCGCCAGGTTACTCATTTGAGGATGAACCGACCTAGGAGAGGCCCCGGACCGGTTCAGATATTCGTTAGTGATGTTGGCCGCGAGCGGAAATCGAACCCCGGGTCGCCAGATTTGTAACAGCTCTAATCACTGCGCCACCGCTCCTCATTCACACACACGCACGTACACACATGGCAGACGTTCACCAGGGATGCAGTGCGACGTGACACTCGTGGAACCTGCAACAGAAAATCATTATCCTCATCAGTCATCATCTATCCACTGCTGGATGGTCTCCTGAAGCCGTCACACAAACCATTTGTTGGCATTTTTCCGCAATTTTTGTAAATGGCTAACAGACACCCCAAGGAACATTTTGGATAAACATTCACGGTGTGGTTGAGTTGGTGTGTTTCTCCCGTCAACGAGGAGCCATACATTCCGATGGTGCTGATGATGGACGTACCGCCCCTTAGACGTGTTTCTCTCCTTTGGCCGCCGCTCCGTCATTATTC